ATAACTATATCAAAATCATCCACCTGAGCTACAAATCTTCTCCATCATATCTGAACACGATAATAGAAGCCGTCAGTCTAGTCTCCTGTGTATGAATGCACAACTAGTCACATAGATGGGAACTCGAACCCGATCAATTTAGACAAGTCATAAGATTAGGTGATGAATATTCACACTGATCATAAGTATTTGCGTTCTGTCTACCACCGTATATTAATTGGTATAATAATAATAATGGTGAGTAATTTTGAGAATAGGCATACAGTGTTAGGGTAAGGAGTAAGGGAGTAAGTCAACTAACTGATGAGATAATTGTGAGGCTACATCGATCGAAATGGCTATGGTTAGCGAACGTGTTTCGCATGCTAAACCATTGCCTTCCCCGACATGCAATGTTAGTTAATATAGGATTAATATATGTGTAGAACTTGGGCACTTTGGTAGTAAGTAATTCCATATTAGTTTGTTTATTAGATATATCACACAGTCAGTGAAACAGTATTATTATTTACTGGATGACACAGTTCCGAACAAAATTTATTTTTCATAATCATATCAATTGTAATCACACACGACTTTGAAACTTGAGTTTTATAGTTTTCTTTGTTCTCTCCCATTTGTCGTTGTGAGGGGAGTAGAATTTTCCAGATATCGGGGACAGGTGATGAATCATTTTTCGAACACATCAATTCGAAGGTTGAAGCAATTCAATTCACTTATGAATAATTGGAAAATCAGGAAGGGGAGCTCCCAATGTTAGATTACAACGTAAAAAGGAAAGAAGATGGGAAGTTAAACACACTAGTGTTTACAGGAAACCCACACACTCAAACACATATTTGGACTTCCGATCATCCCATCCTATGTCAGTAAAAATAGGATTGGTGAAATGTTTAAGTGACAGAGCACAAAAACTAAGTAGTACTAAAGAAAATCTAAAACAGGAACTGATACACATAAAAGAAGCTGTGAAACTTAATTACCCTGATAAATTAGTCAGGCAATATGTAAGGAAATGTAAAAATAAAATAAATAATGATAGTAGCGATAGTGATAATAACAATAATAATGATAACGATAATAATAATATTAATGACGACACCAACAATAAGGAATCTAAATCATCAGTAGTAATTCTATACAAGGAAGGAACCTCGAAAACCTTACGGTGGAGAATTCTTAACAAGGCAGGAATAAAAGGGGCTGGCATTCAACCCACTCACAAACTCAATTAGAAACAAGCTTTGTTGGTTAAAGGATGAATCCTGTGGAGCCTTCAAAACAAAACAATTTAGTTTATCTAATACCCTGCAATGATTGTCAGGTCAAATACATAGGTCAAAGTAGTAGAACAGGGACAGTCAGACTAGCCGAGCTTAAAAACTTAGCAAAATCTAGATTGGTTGATCCAAATAAGATAAGAAATCTAGAGAATAGTTCAGCTACAGCACTACATGCAGTTACACACAACCATACAATAGGATGGATGGGATAAGATGACAGTAGTTTTAAAATCTAATGTAACAGCAGGGTGGAGGGAGAGATTGATAACAGAAGCTTTGTTTATCGAATCAATTGAAGAGAATACATGTAATAGGAATGATTCATCACCTGTCCCCGATATCTGGAAAATTCTACTACCCCAACGACGACAAATAGGAGAAAAACAAAGAAAACTATAAAACTCAAGTTTCAAAGTCGTGTGATTACAGTTGATAAATGAATAATTTTTGTTCGAAACTGTATCATCCAGTAAAAAATACTGTTTCACTGTGTGATACATCTAATAAACAAGCTCATATGGAACATAGGATTAAGTTTGAAAAGAGTTAGGGGTGGTCAAATCAAAACGTGGCATTAGTCGATGAAGTCTTTCACTGTTGGATTGCGATGGCACGTAGGGGCGGGGGGTGGGGTTGTGTGAAGACTGAATGGTTAGAGTCTTCGTGATAGATGCTAAGATCCAATGGCTGGAGACTATTGGCGACATGGATCAATAGAGTAGGCACATTTACTCTTTGTGACCTCCCATTTCCAATAAACCTTCAAGCTTTTCTTTGTTACTATTCTTTCCATTGAAACATTTCTCCTCATTGTAGTTTTTTTGTTTTGATATACTGATCGCACACACACACACACACGTGTACTTGTCATACACATTAACACAAAAGGGAACAGAGCATAAATCAATACAATATAGGTCAAACTGTGTGCAGGTCAAGGTCAGAGATAAGAGGTGGGGAAATCACGGAAAAATATGAGGTAAGAAACAGAAAAAAGGCGAGAGAGAGAGAGAGAGTATCATTAAATAAGTTGAACCTTGGTTCTAAAACTGGATTAAAAAAGGCGAACTCTGAGTAAGACATGATTAAACCCTTTTATGACTAAGGCTTCAATGAATTTAAGTAAGCGACACAAAACATGTTTTTGTATGTGGGTTAAAGGCATTATTGAAATCAACCTTGTGTGATATTCAAGTGTCGGTTTGTAGGGATTTGATTGGTTACAGGATTTCATCATGAAGCAATATCGGTTAGAGAACCATTGGAAAACCAGACAGCTGTTTCGTCCTAGTTTGGGGGCTCTCCAACAGTACGCACCCATTGAGGTTCGAACCCAGGACACTGCGATTACAAGGCGAGCTCGTAAACCATTAAGTCGTCACCAGTGGGGTACAGCAGGTCGGGTTTGAGGACAAATACTCACCAGTGATGACATTTGCTAGTTAGAATCCATAGATCATTGGATCTGGTCCCGGTGGCTGCCTTGTAACCAGAAGGTTGTAGGTCCGAACCTAAGCGGATGCGTATCGCTAGGGAGTCTCAAACCAGGACAATACAGCTGTCTGGCGGCACTCCCTGGCAGGTTTTTCAATGGTTCTCTAACCGATGTCAGTTCATGATGAAATCCTGAAACCTTGCGTGATCTATCTCTATGATATGCTTTGTGATAAATGATGTTGAATAGCTGTTTCCAGGATTATTGTATTCAGTGATTTTATTTGTACTTGCAGACACTTCGGAATGTGTTCTGTAGCTATGACCTGTAGAGATCGATGCGTCCTCTCTAGGTACGTGTGACCACACATACACACATGTATATTAGTACAGTAGGATGTGACCCTATCGTTCAGATTCTGTGAAATAGCCATCTCTTATTGAACAACACTAATTTCCAACACTATGAGAAAAACTACTTCAATTGACGACTACAACAATCAAGTCAGACGACGGACACATATAAACAGCCCAACTATAAGTTATCACTGAAGGAGGTCAGTGAGAGATCGCTACGCCTTCTGGAACACCAGCTAGTGTGCAAACACAACCACAAGAGGTATCTCTAACCCAACGACAGCTGTTAGTTAACCCTTTTGAAAACACTATTAATGTTAATGAATGCTACAAAAGAGCCACATACTAGTTCTGCTTCTCAATGAGAGAAAATGAAGTCAGCCATTTAGCGAGGAAGTAAACTAGACCGACTAAAAGCCTTTGCGATCCCATCGATAAGAATAATGGGGAGTGACGAAGGTGAAAGAAACGCTACAGTAATACCCATTAACTATTTGGCCTCAATAAGTCTAAGGGATTCCAAGAAGGATGGAACTTTTGTATTAGATGGCTAAATATGACCAGTGAAAACGAGGTCAGTTTAATCGATGAAGCTGTGACCAGCGAGCGGAGCCCACTAGGTCGGATATGAGGACAAGTACTCGCCAAGGAATGCCCACTATCCCCATTTCTATTCAATTTCATCATAGATGTACTAATGGAATTAACCCTAACTCACTTCAGAGACTCAAGGATTGACTTGCTACCAGGGAATAATCTCGTTGACTTAGAATATGCAGATGATATAGTCCTTCTAGGTGAAGACGCTGAAAAAATCCAGCAGAGTCTTCTGAACATCGTGGAATATAACTGCGAATGTTTGGCATGCGATTCTCCCCAACCAAATGAAAGATGATGCTACAGGACTGGATTACATCGACTTCATCCTAGTTTAAAGATAGGGAGTGAAGTCGTAGAGCATGTTGACCACTTCACTTATTTCGGAAGTTGCATCAGCCCCAACGCGTTGTTCACTGACAAAATCTCAGCTCGAATACAGAAGGCTAGTTTCGCAGATGACAGTTTACGCCGTCTCTGGCTTAGTAGACGTGATATCCGCCTGGCTATCGACTACAGGGCGTGTGTACTGCTCAGCAGTTCGCTCCGTACTCCTTTATGGCTAGCTGTGAGACCTGGCCATTGAGAGGGGAAGACGGGCAATGTTAGCTGACATAGAGTCATCAGGGTGGAAAAGATTTAGTGGTGATCAAACGAAAGCATGGCTTCATCAGTCAATCAAATCCACAACAGTTAGTTTAAGCCACGTAGGGAGATGTGGACTACTTGACTGGTTGGAGTCCCCGGGATGGTAAAGACCAATGGCTGGAGACAACTGGTGATATGGCGTAGATGCATCCACTCCTTGTGACTTATAATTTCGTTATTACTATTCCTTTTGCCCCATATCTCTGTTTACTGTCTCTATTTTTACTTTCTTCTTTTGCTTTTTGTGTGCTGAGTGAAGTGTGGCGACTCGGACTGCTGCACATCTTTGCAAAGTTCTATGTTGAAACCAGTCAGTTAGTGAAAGGTGATACATTGGCTGGCGCACATCGTCCTAAAATCATGAATTAGTAGAAGTTAGAATTCACAGGCTATTTGGATCAGGTCTACGAGCTTTCCTTGTACTGGGAACGTCCTGGTTTCAAACCTTAACAGTCAGTGAGTGCTGATGAAGAGTGCCAAACTAGGATGAAACAGCTGCCCAGTACTCCATGATCTAACTTGACATATGATGGACTCTTATAACACATCAGAAACCTCGTTTAATTAACTAACCATTCCTAACCCCAGCAAACCGGGCAGATTGGGCAACTTCGTTACTCTACTAAAACTCGAAATCACAGTGCAAGGAAACACACACACACAACAGCATGCATAACTTACTTCAAAATTAATATAATATTGTAATTGTTGAATAAAATGTCGAATCTCTGCACCGAACAACTGTAGCAAATGTAGTACTACAGATAAATCAAATTGTAGATTATTGCCAAGACGTGTTGTAGACAATTGTTGTTTCCATAAATTACACAATGTAAACTCCATACGTTTTGCCCGCCAAAGAAAATTAAATGAGAATAAATACATAAATCGACAATTATCAGTGAATATTGTAGCCAATGGTCCATCAACATGATAATCCAATGAAAAGATATCCCATCCAGTATCTTGAGCTAAATAAGGAGAGTGGGAGAGAGAGAAAAGAGATACGCATTGACAAACAAAAGTGGAGTAATCATCCAATTGGAAACAATTATGCTGAACAATTCCAAATGGAACATGGAAGACTCCAAGCTTGAGTCTTAAAGTTTCACTAGTAGTGCGGGTTGCTAGCGCTTCATGCTCACTCCTCCTTCAGTCTTTACCGGCCGGGAATCAAACCTTGGACCAAGTGAGGTGTGGTTTGGTGAGTATTCCTACCATGGAACCACAGATGCCTCCAAAGCCTCAGGATGGTCGGGGGTGGGTGCCTTGCGCTGCGGGTTGGCCACCCCTCCGAACACCTCTTGAAATGCTCCCATATGACCGGACGTCTTACATAGCCTCTCCTGAGGAAGTCCTACTCACTGCCTTCACGTGGCGGGGGTGTTTTTCACCAAAGTGAGAGGGCGAAAGCGGATGCCCGGCGCTCTTCACCGGGTTGACTGTCTATTGGATGACAGTCTAGGGGAGATGGCTAAACCCTGATTCCAAACCTCCAACGACTGGCGTATGAAGCTCACTGGAGCTCACCGGAAGACGTATGGACAAAGGGCTTGTTGGATGTCCTGGATGTCGGGCCCCATTCAAAAAGGCGTATGAACCGAACTCCGGTCACCGGCTGCCAATGGGTAGTGGACTCCCTACTCCACTCCTACTGCCTTGTAGGTCACACTTGGTTGTGTAAAGGCTAGAGCTGCACTCTCAAACAAAAGGCCGAGCGATTCTGAGGACATCACTCGTACCAAATTCCCATGGAACTTCATGAACTCATGTTCATGAAGCCGACTCATCCTCCCGTAGGAGATAGCCGAAGTAAAGAAGAAGAAGAAGATGGAACCACCGATGCATGACTCATTATAATGTGAAGGCATTAAAGGCGAAATCGGATAAGCCATATACTATATGTATATACTGCTCAATAACACCTTTTGTGATTCCATGAAGTTGGAAATGAACCAGGTCCGTTGTGAATGAGCACTAGTGATAGACACTACCTTGGACTGATTAAACCTCCTCAACAGGTGGAGGAGGCGTGGGGTTATTCGTACCTGTGATCCATTTGGTTAGAAGTCGAACCGCCTTGCCCACCACAGTGCGCCACAACTTCACTTACGCTACAAGCACTTCTGGGTAACAGTAAAAAAAATAGACACCAAAGCCAAATGACCTTGAACCAACCAATCAATCAGATCGCCGCTCAGTTTTACAACAAGTGAATACCATTCGTAATCTTTGTCTCAAGTTTCACTCAGATTTGGTTTTACACTTCTGCTGTGTGAAAAATGGATTGATAGAATGAACTAAAACTCGTTTATGTGGAGGGATAACGAATTTTCAGAAGTACTGCCAGGCTGGCTATTGGTGGTTATAAATTCCAATGCAATCACTGGTGTGTATATAAGGAAGTCTGTAACAATTGGCAAGTTGTGAATTACTGTGATTTTTTAAATGCTTTCCACTTTAAATCGAAACGACCAGTATCTGCTACAGCTGCAGGCAGAAACAGAGAATACTAAAATGTCTACAGTGCAGTGAATGGCATCAGCACTGTCGACATGTCGCCTCACAAAAGATCAATACAATTACTTCTATACTTGAAGGAATTGGTATCGTTATTCGTGCTGACGAAACAGTACCTATTATTAAACGAAGAAATGAATAGCGTTAGGAGAAGAGCAAGAGCACCACGTTTAACTGCTGAGACTGTGCGATACGAATCTTCGAAAAGGGTTTGTAGAATGCATCCGAAACTTGAACTGTCGATGTTTTAATACCAATAATACAACGACTATTAGTCGTCTCAAGCACTACCATTCATGCAGATGAGTGAAGAGAGGTTATTCGCAACTATCATCATCATTAGGCTATATCGATCCACAATGAAGTCAATTATTCTTATGAATTACTGAATCCTATAAATGGAACTTATACAAATCCCAATCAGGGATTCTGCGCCCATCAAAAAAAAACATATTAGAATGGTAAGTGCTTCCCGATATGAATTTTTATATTGACAATGATTTGACGTGCTTATAGACACTTCTATGAGAAACTGGGACCGATTTTTGCAGTAGATTAGAGATGTATACCCTGTGCGTCGGTGGCGCAGCTGTTAGGAGGCTCACCGACTATGCATATGGTCCGGGGTTCGACGCCCTGCCAACGCACATCCGATATCAATGGTCGGCCTGCAAAATTTGGGCTAACGAAATGACATGCTGAAAATTCCATACTTGTACCGAAAATACGATGTGAAATCAAGCTATAATCAAAACATATACATATATATCTTATAAATACACTATTTTATAGAATTAATGCCACTTTTCACCCAGAAGAATGTGATTGGTTGGTTTAAGGTCATTTGACTTTGGCGCCTATCCTTTACTTTTGCCCACTTCTGGTTCTCCAACAATATTAATGAAGATTAATCCTAAGAAGTTGTTCATCTCTTACAGTGTGCGAAATCCCTTTGTACAGATGAACTCTGAATGACTTTCTCCACAAAATCAATGTTTAAATTGAGCGCTAAAAAAACATTAATGTTGACCGTCTGAATGTGTATCTGTCTATCTATCTATCGGTTTGCGTACCTCCTGTGTCGCAGTTGGTTGATATTAACCACCGAATTGGACTACTCACAGAACAAATTTTAGTGGTATTTCCACACAGAGAACATTATCAGTGTCCCATGGAAAAAACCTCTTTAAAACTATGGTAGAGGTTATAGCAGTAGACATTTCAAAATTTGAACTCTGTATACAAAAACAGGAGGGGGGCGGAGTTTATTCACAGTTGGAATAGATTTAATGGCTTGACTTGACCTATGTATGACCTTTGAAAATTCATTCCTTAAGTCTGTTGTTTGTTTGTTTGCCTTTTTGTCATTCCTTGTGTTCTGAATAGAAAACAGGGCTTCAAGTTTTAAACTTTCAATGCGGGTGGTGTTGTTTTTTTTGTTTTGTCATGTTGTGGGGTTGCTCTAAGTATAACGCCAAATTCCTCTTCTATTCGTTGCTTACTAACGCTTAGTAAACCGCATATATACACGGCATAATTATACAGTCTTATTGGTTAATAAAATTTGAATAGACTGGCTATGATGAAATATTGATGAAAGGGGTAGCTCCTTTATAGAGACAAGCTCATCACAGGTGTCTGTCTGTCTGTCTATTTTCAACACAGAACTTTGCACTGGTGTGCAGCAGTTCAAGTCGCCACACTCCCTCCTTGTAGCACAGAAAGCAAGAGAAGAAGAAAGTAAAAAGAAATGCAAAATGGAGACAGTAAGAAGAGATACGAGGCAAAAAGAATAGTAGTATCGAAGAGCAAGATAGTTTTATTAGATATTATCAGTCACAAGGAGTCGATGTATCTGCACCAGCCATTGGTTTTTAACATCCCGAGGACCCCAACCAGTCAGGTAGTCCACATCTCCCTACGTGGCTTAAACAAACTGTTGTGGATTTCACTGACTGATGAAGCCATGTTTTGGTATGACCACCACTGGCTCTTCTCCAACCTGATCCATCCCATGTGAGCTAACATTGCCCGTCAGTCGAGGAAGGCGATGCCTAGGCTTGGCGTGAGTAAAACATGTCCTATCAACCTCAATCAATGCATAACTTTACAACCTCGTCCCCTGATTTGCCCTTCCTTCTCACCTAGCACTCGACTCACGCCTAACCTCATTATTGCTCACCTTATTATACCACTTAACATACACGAGAGATAGAACGCAGACACCTATAATCAAAGACAGCTAGTTGGCCTTTTCATGTCTTCCACTTTCTATGGCCATGTCTAGCTCACAGCACATACATACAGAAGGCTAGTTTAGCATATGCCAACTTACACCGTCTCTGACTTAGTAGACGTGATATCCGACTGTCTACCAAAGAACGTGTGTACTGCTCAGCAGTTCGCTCCGTACTCCTTCATGGCTGCCAGTGATACATGGTCATTGAAAGTCGAAGACATGAAAAGGCTAGCTAGTTGTCTTTGATCATACAGATGCCTGAGTTCTATCTCCCATGTGTATTAAGTGGTATAATAAAATGGGCAATATTGAGGTTATGAGTGAGTCGAGTGCTAGGCAAAGAGGGCGGGGGAAATCAATCGACGAGGTTGTGAAGCAGTTACATCGATTGAGATGGTTAGGACATGTGTTACGACGCATGCATGCCTAGCCATCGCTATAGGCATAACGCGACAGGCGATGTTAGCTGACTGACATAGGATGGATCAGGTTGGAAAAGAGTTAGCTAGTGGTGGTGGTCAAACTAAAACATGACTTCATCAGTCAATGAAATCCACAACAGTTAGTTTAAGCCAGACATTCATGTAGGGAGGTTTAGATTGCCAGTTCAATTGGGCTCCTCGAGGTATTAAGGACTAGTGAAGATTGACTGGCACAGAGGCATTTACTTCTTGTGATTTGATGGTTGGATCTAATAAAACCACATTGTTCTTCCATACTTCTATTCTCTTTGCCTCATATTTCTGTTTATGATCTCTCTCTCTACTCTTCTCTTGCTTTGTGTGCTACATGGAGGGAGTGTGGGAGCTCGAACTGCTGTACATCTGTACAAAGTTCTACTTTGAAAACAGTCAGTCAGTCAGAACTGATAATATATAGAATCCCAATTCTCCAATTTTTGAAAATTACACAGATCGAATTGGCATTTCACCATAAATTTCCTTTGAAACAATTTGAAGTTAGAATTGAGACATATTATCTTAGCATCATTGTCGCACACATTATACAGCCCATAAAGAATAAACACGTAAATAAACAATGGTAATAACACGAAGACAACAACTAACGCGATGAAATATCCAATAATCGAACATCTAAACGTTGTAGTATTTCTGGTTGTTCATATTGTGCATTTGTATCACGTATAGCTGTCTCCAGGATACTACTTAACCGACTGTAGATTATTTGTGAACTTGGTTTATTCAGACTGGAACTGAAAAGGTAAAGAAAAATTAAAAGAGGAAAAAGTTTAGGAACACACACAAACATGGAGATTTCTGGCTCAAGTGGATAATACTGAATGAACAACCAGTCACGGCGCTTGGTTGCCAGGAGATACACTTATATCTTCATTCATTGATTCATTCATGGAGAATTTAAATGAGTTCATTTTTTATACTAAGACCTGCATTGAAGGTGTTGTTGTCCAAAAGGGGGATGACGACAACTTCGCAATTAAATCAACCAGCCAGCTCAGAGAACACAACTAATTCACAATATCTAAGATGTGTTGTCCCAATAATGAGCAGTATACATCAGCTGACAGGAATTAAGTGATTATGTATGTATTTGTGATAAAAATACATTTCTGTAAGATTAATGGTGACTTATCAAGTGAGATTCTATTCCAAAGACTTTCAAGGAGTATACGAAGAACATTTTATGCAGCACACCTATGTTTGTCATTCTCTAGCCAACGAATGATTGGGACGCAAACGAAGGATAAGCTTGATAGTTTTGCCAAATCTATGTGCATTTATCAGTTCAACTGCACCCGCGGTGACAGTTATATTGGGCACACTACTACTAGACAGCTTAGCCAACATGTTAGTGAACATCTCCCATCGTGATGCTTTGGCAAAGGACAGACAAAAACAATTCGTAGCTCAATTTTTTCACACTTAATTGATAGTGGTCATGCAATCGAGAAAACGAGAGCCTTCAAAGCAATTCATCGTATCCCACCGAATCTTTCCTATAGACTTCGTATTCGTTTACTGCACACAGCTGAGGCAGGCGATAGACATTCGAACTATTAAACCTAAACTATATATTCAAAGAAAGTTCGTGCAGACATTATCCCTCCCTTGGCCTATTAAGACATAACCAACTAATCACTTCTACACTTGTTTATACTTTCAATCCCTTTCTTGTCATCCCTTAATCTTATCACGTTTTCATTAAAAACGTGTTTCATTTCCTTCCCCTACAAGCTAACATTACTTAATCGGTTCATTTGTTTTTACTAACCTTTATCGACTACTTCCACCTGAACATGTGTTTGTTTAATCATGCTGTTTTTCATTATTTGTGTTATCACAGATTGCCTCACTTTTTCATCCTTATTATTGATAAGACCATTTTTATTGTTACTATTATTTATTTATTTATTTTATTATTTATTTATCATTTATCGAATTCACGCCAACTGTGTTGCAAAGTCTTCGTGTTTCACACTTTTAAGAACAGATGAGGCGCCTTGGTCATTCACATGGATTCAAGCCACACGTTATTACTATTCCAGACTTAATATGCCTTCAATATTCTGATGCCAAGTCCACAAATCAAGTACAGGCTTCTAAACTAGACCAACTTATATATGTATAGAATATCATTATCGATTATAAGCATGACACTACATTATCATCAATCAAATGTCACCTAGATTAATTATTCTATCTGTGGCTTAAAAACTAAACTGTCACGTGACTTACAGATTATTTATTCTTTTGTAAACACTCACTACCTAGGCCTAATCATAAGTATTTCTTATTCGTTTCGCTAACCATATATGCATTGTAACGATAGTTTAGCTGAAACATTTTATTTCACATAACCTGATACTATTCGGTATGTTTGTAGAGATATAGCTTATACACCAGTTTCCTGATCGATAGCTGCCATACCTTGACGTGGTCTTTTGGCTTGCTTATTGCAATGACCCAACAAACTACACCGGCTGGAACTAATATTCCTCTACAGGTCCTACCATGCCAGGAAGATTATTAGGATAGCGATTAGACTAAAAGCAGTTACCGGCATTGTGTAAGAATCTCTCTCTGAGGGCGAAGTCGTACTGCTGGGGAACAGGGGTGTAACAACAGTGATGTGTTTCCCCCTCAGATGATCAGCATGCCAGCCAGCTATGCTGTCTCTCCACTCTGGAAAGAAAGGGGTTAGAAAAGGTCAACCACAAAAATTGTACAGCCCACCTTACCTCTACAGAGGTTCGTAACCACCGGTAAGTTACTGATACGAAACCAAACGAAAAAGCCAGTTGAGACAGGCCGTGTGTGACCGGCCTTCAGCATTTGTCCCCTAGGCTGGCGCTGCGGTCACGCAACACTAATTCTCTTTGTGTTTCAGGTAGCTCAAGAAAAAAATCAACTTGCATGGTGTGGGTAGCCAGGAAGTAACAACTGACCGTACACTTCCGAAAGCACACGAAGCCCTCATCATCATCATCATCATTGGCTTGATAATCTGATTACCCGTCGATACGCCCTCAAGTTCCAATCATGCTTCACTGTGACTTAACTTGGACAACTGAGTAGTATTATCAGCCTATGCACAATGAGTAAGGTTCATATAGCATAACACAAGAAAGAATCCTTTCCCAAGCAAAAGAGATTTGTCGCAGTTTCGATTATGAGTTGACATCAGTTAGAAAACATTTGGAAATCGGGGAGTGCTGGACGGTTGTTTCCTCCTGGCTTGTGACTCTTCATCAGTATGCGTTTCCTGCTGTTCGAACCCACGACTTGTTGGTATTAGATGGTTGGAGGCTGACTAGTGTTCAATCAAAAATATCCAATACAGTCCTACAGGAGGTCAGTCGCGAGCCTGAATAGCTCAGTGGTAACGTCTCTGACTGCAGCACTGGGTGATGCGGGTTCGAATCTCAGAAGGGACATCAGTTCCTTCAAGGTTGCAGATACGCCTTGCTGATGAGTGCCGACTAGCACGAAACCCAGGTTCAAGGCTTCCTGTGGCCGATTGCCGCCAACCATCTAATACCAACAATTCCCTGTGCACCGTAATGGCGAGCCACCTAGCATAGTGGCCACATTGCAAACATGACTGATAGTCTGCACCGAAGATAGGACTAGACATATTACACTAGTTACTGACTAGTGTCCAATCAAAAATAACCCACGACTTTCCCGTTACAAGGAGCGCTTGTAGAGTATTTAGCTACCGAGACCTGACCCAATGGCTCATGAATTCCAACTTTTGCCAATTCACGATATATAGCGTGAATAAGTGTTGTCTTACCTGACTTGGAGGACACCCGCGCCCTGCTTACGAGAAAGACTTTTATTCGACAAAACACAGTGATACAGTATTACTTACTGATTTACTGATGGCGTTTCAAGCAAAATGCATTATTCGTTATCATATCAAGGCGGTTACATAACCTGTCTCAGATTTTGTTTATACAACTATGTCGTACTGATTGATTGAGATGGTTAGTTGAATACGACTCATATCAACAATGCAAACAGTTACATAACAGAGCAGGACATTCACAATCTAAACAAAACACCATCTTCTGACAATATCAGCCCCAACGGGTTGATCACTGACGAAATCTCACCTAGAATGCAGAAGGCTAGTTCCGCATATGCCAGTCCGCACCGTCCTCCTTTATGGCTGAGTGAGATCTAGCCATTGAAAGTGGAAGACATGAAAAGGCCAGCTAGCTGTCTTTGATCATAGGTGCCTGCGTTCTATCTCCCGTGTTAGGTGGTGGCAGTATTGAGGTTAGGCATCCATCAAGTGCTAGGTGAGAACGGAGGGCAAATCAATGGACGAGGGTGTGAAGTTATAATGATTGAGATGGTTAGAACATGTGTTACGTATGCCTAGTAATTGCCTTCCTCAAGGGGCAATGTTAGCTGACAAAGGGTCAGGTTGGAAAAGAGTTAGCCAGTGGTGGTCAAAACAAAACATGGCTTCATCAGCCAATGAAATCCACAACAGTCAGTTTAAACCACGTAGAAAGGTGTAGACCTCCTGATTGACTGGTTAGGGTCCTCGGGATGGTAAACACCAATGAAAACCGCAGAAAATTGGTGATATGACTCAAAATCGTTGTCAATGGCTGGCGGAGATGCATCCACTCCTTGTGACTTATAATTTCCAATGAAACTATATTGTTCTTCGTTATTACTATTCATTTGTCTCATATCCCTGTCTACTGTTTCTATTATGCATTTCTTTTTACTTTCTTCTTTTGCTGTGTGTGATGAGTGAAGTGTGGCGACTCGAACTGCTACACATCGGTGCAAAGTTCTATGTCGAAAACAGATAGATAGACAGATATCAAATTTCGAAGAGAAGAGGGATCAAAGAAGAAAATTCTTCCATTTTTTGACAACTTAGTCAAGTGCACAGGAAAATCAACTCATACAGATCAGATAATCAGTTTCAACAACAACAACGACAACAACCCAACAGCACTCAAAAGGAGTTGCATACAAAAATTGTCCAAAAGAGCCGGGATACTTGGTCGGTCGGTTTTCGACATGGAACTTTACACATATGTGTGGCAGTTCAAGTTGCCACACTCCATGTAGCACACAAAGGAAGAGGAAAAAGTAGGAGAAATGCATAATATAGACAGCAAACAGAGGTGTAAGACAAAGGAATAGTAATAACGAAGAACAAAACAGTTTCATTGGAAATCATAAGTCACAAGGAGTGGATGCATCTACCTTAGCTATCGAGAACGATTTTGAGCCATGTCACCAATTGTTTCCAACCATTGGTTTCTACCGTCCCGAGGACCCCAACCAGTCAGGAAGTCTACATCTTCCTACGTGGCTTAGAGTAACTGTTGTAGATTTCATTGACTGGTGCCATGTTTTCGTTCGACCGCCGCTAGCCCTTTTCCAGCCTGACCCTATATCAGCTAACATTGCCCGTTGTCGAGGAAGGCGATGACTAGGCATACGTAGCACATGTCGTAACCATCTCAGTCGATGTAATTTCACAGTTTCGTCGACTGATTTCCCCGCCTTACCTAGCACTCGACGCCTAACCTCAATGCGGGACACTTGACAGCACTCCCACACTTTGAGAAGAATCAGCCAGAAATATCTTATGACAGTCTTTCAGAAAAATGGATATCGACGAAACTTTATCAAAAGTTATCCACCTTCAACCCAGCCACTCAACTAATGAGTATCCAAGAAGCATATATGGAGAACACATCTGAAATCATTGCAAGATTAGTGAGACAAACCTCTTAGAATTGATATCGCCTACAAACTAATAACATCATTTCAATCGATATTATGTCAAAAAAAAGAAGGACAACAGACAAAGAAAAGAATAACCAACATCAAAGTGGACGTCCACTTCGTCTTCGTATCTACAAAGATAAACTGGCCATGAAAAGATCTTCATTATTTTGAAACCAGTGCAGAAATCTGCATTTAAGCAACGACAACACAATATTCGGATTTTCAACAGTAATTTCATGTTAGTCAGTTCCTGTAGATGCTTCCGAGACTTGGCGTACGTGTTACCAAAATCATTTCGAATAGATCTCATACTTTTATCAAAACAGCTGCCTTTGGTGGTTCCATACTGAAGATCAGATGGCCGGAAATCAAGTAGAAGCAACCAAGAACCCATAGCTCAACAAATAAGTCGAAGGGAGTGGAGATGGAGCGGATACACGCTAAGGAAACCGCTGAGTAACATGGTGTGTCAGACGGAACCCCGAGAGGAAAACGATGAGTCTATGCGCAGTCAGTAGTCGTGAAGCCAACTAGAGACGACTCCAGGAAAGAGATGTTCTATGGAAGCTCTATATTCCACACAGAATCCAAGGGAATAATAACAACAATACATATCAACACATGCAGGCGACCACAGATGCCTATTCGATTGAGAAAGGTACAAATCCTTGATGAAGGGAACACCAAAACTGTTAGGAAATTTCTAGAAGCCTGGTATTCATTCAGGTGAATTCGTAATCAACATACAAATTGATATAAGATAAGATTAACCCTCCGATAAAAAAAGAAGTTACATGAACGAAAGGTTAACTTTGAGGTCAAGAAAATAATCAATACCAATATAGATGAGAACTAGCGGGGGGTGAGTAAATATATCCAGAAATAACCAATCACTGTCAAGGTCATCAGTAGAGACGGTTGATAAACCCACTTCATCAAATTGATGTTTGTTATCTACAAAGATACAATGGAGGCTTCGCAGGTAAACTATCCAGCACAGAGAACAGAACAATACCAAAAGAAGTATACTTAGATTCGAGGGAGAGAGAGATTGATCACTGAGTGTTGATTCATCGGATCAATATAAAACAGATGCAGTAGGAATGATGCAATACGGACGCTAAGTGTACATGGAAAATACTACTACCAATAAGAGTAAGGGCTAAGGAATAATGCAACTGTGTTAGCAACATCTGAAAGAGGCCATACAGGCACCTTGATATGATTATGAGCAGCAATCAACCGTGCTCAAAATTAATGGGTGGCTACTCTAAACTGTAGCAGCCGAAAACGAAACTACCTAATAAAGAAGACGTTGACAAATCTCCATCGACCAATTAGATGAGTCCGAGGTGGAAGGGAGCAGTTTAAAAAAAAAGTTTATATAAGAGCAATGCAATGTTAAACAGTAGTTAGTTATATAGGATAACTTCTTTGTATATGTTCCGATAAAACCACCCAGCTTCTCATAAGAGTCCTCATAGTTAGTTTGAACCAATTTTTGTGCATAAATCTGTCAAGAGTACTGTAAATCATCGTGTTTCTTGAGTCATTCACCGCTCTGATCCCCTTTCCTTAGGTGAATCTAGAAACTTTCAATAGAATTTGTGTGAGTCGCATAGAATATAGCCCAGGAATTACATTTGGCTGCACATTTTCTCCCTTCAGATGAACCTGTTGGCTAAGTAGTACTTAAATACTAGATTTCGATGAAATTTTGTACGTAATTCATGTATATTATTATTATTGTTCCCTTGGGTTCCTAGTGGAACATAGGGCTTCAACTGCACGTCTCCACTTGCTTCTGTCTTCTGCTGTACTTTTCATCTGCATCCACGTTTGTCCATACTGTTTCAACTCCTCTTCACACGACCTCCTTCATGTCACTCTTGCACTGACGTCCCACTCGCCACCGCTTCCCTTTCGGGTTCCACTCGAGCACTGGCTTGACGCGTGGATGTCACCCAGCGACCTCCTCAGCGAGTGTCCAATCCATCTCCACTTCCTCCTGTATATTTGTTGGGCGATTCCTCCTTGTTTTGTTTCTTCCCATAGTTTCTTGTTGGTGATTCTTTCTGGCGACCATCTGATCTTCAGTATAGAGAGAAGACACCTGTTGATAATGGTCTGCAACAGGCTGTTGGAAATATTCTTTGTGACCCGCCAAGTTTCTGATCCATACGTATAAAAGAACTGACTGACTTGACGTTTGTATTGAAAATCCGAATTTTGTTGTTGATGCAGGCTGAGTGACGAAGATTTCCAGATTGGTTTCAGGTTGATGAATGTGTTTCTCGCCTTCCCGATTCTCGATTTGAAATCCTCGTCCGTTCCACCTGCCTGTAGTTGAGACAATGCTCCCTAGATAAGTGAATGAAGTAACCTCTTTCAAATCCCTCCCGTTGATGGTGATTGGCTCTGGATGTTGCTGTTGTTGTTGTTGGTTGGTTATTTTCATAACCTCTGTCTTGTCTATGTTCACCTGGAATCCTGTCTTCGCTGCTTCTTCGACCAGTTTGTCGGTTTTCACTTGTAAGTCTTCGATTTTGTGTGACATCAGACATAAGTCATCCGTGACGTAATTCATGTACAGCATTCATAATTCCCTCTCAATATATACTACGGACTGATCTGATTGGTCGCTCAAGGTCATTAATCCGTTTGTTAGGTAGTTTCGTTTTGGGTAACTGTAGTTTAGAGTCATCATATAATGAATGCTCGATCACTGAGTGTGTGTGTGTTTTATCGAATAAAATCTCTGATAATTACATGCATAGAATGGGGTTAGATTACTCTGTTGATATAAGAATAGAACTTGTGCACAGTGGTGGTAGAGTATAATTCCATTGTGGGTAAAATTTATTCTGATAAAGTCTTACAGTGTTATACAGTAGTAATATTTACTGATGACCACGTTTCGAGCACATTTTATCGCCCAGTAAATATTACTGGGTAACACTGTGAGACTTTATCAAAATAAATTTTACCCCTAATGGAGTTATACTATGTTGATATACTCCAAACTAAAACTGAGAGCTATTTTTATCACATGTGAGAGGAAGGTATCCTCTGTACCACTTTGCTACAGTTTTTATGCACTTTTTTCTCATAAATATATGAATGCCAAACACAAAAATGTCTCCTTCACGTGATTGGTCATTCGCTGATTGGTGGTAGTTGGTGGTGCTTAAAGTTTAACTTTGCCCCTAATTTCATTAAGCTTTGAGCTCTGAAGTTTCAGCTTTCTTTAATACTACATTACACTGCTGTTTGTATTCTCCCGCCTACTTATGACCTTGGAATTCTATTGGTTGTTGGCTGTTTCAAGTTATCACTGTAATTAGTGTCTCTCAAGGCCATTTTAAGCATATATATATATATATATATATATATATATATATATATACGCAATTGCTGTCAATCATTCTTGCTGTTGATTCGAGACGGTAGAAGCTCTCTACGTCAACGGTCTGTCTTCTAGTTTTCTTGTGTCATGGGTTCGGTGATATCGTATCGTGTCGTTGTTGTTATTGTTGCTAATAGTGATTAATACAGTAGGCTCACAAATCAACTAGGTAGAAATTTCGTTAGCACAAACTACCAAGTGTATTAACGGTTATAATATATCACCACAGTGGTTTCATTTTTACGGGATGGAGTTGCCAGTCTCACGCCCAACCTTCCCTCTTTACTGGGCAGGGTTTGGGAGTGTGTCGGTCGGGAATCGAACACTGGGCCACGAAGCTGCACTACCGACGCACTAGAATCACTCCATATAATGGAATTACATTCTACTACAGAATCCAAATGCCTCTAATATAAATAAATATACCACCTATATGAAGTCCCATTTTGAATGTTAACTGGCGAACCAATCATCATCATAGGCACTATATGCACTAGTAGTTAGAAATGAAAAGAGAAAATAGCTATGCATTCCACTGCCATATCACACATATACATTTTAGCTAATACACACGTGACTACATTAAGGCCTAGTTTATTCAGAGAAAAAGCAAAAAAGAAAATTAGTAATAGGTAGTCAATAATTCAATACAATGAAAACAAAAATTAGCCTTATATCTATTAATTATAGAAATATACAATACAGATGTGCACTTACTCTAGTAAATCCATAAGATGTTGAATAAAATCGCCTTGTCCCAAAAGGAGGAATTGTCTCGTAGCCTATATAATAGATAAATAGATGAAAATTAGGGGGTGAATGTGTTAAGACATTATTTACAGGATTTCATTATGAGCTGATATCGGTTAGAGAAGAACTATTGGAAAACCATCTGGGAGTACTGACAGACAGCTGCGTTTCTCAGCCGAGTTTGCGACTATTCAGCAGTACGCACTCACCGCCACAGTTCGCGAACCCAGGACAGGACATTTTGGTTACAACAAGGCGGTTTCGTAGACTATTAAGCCGAAAATGGAACCTGATCCAATGGACCAGCCCATGAATTCTAACTTCTTCCTATTCACGCACGATATATTGCAACTTGCAACAGCCAATATCATCGCTGGCGAGTACTATCTGTCGTCACACTCGACGACCTGCTGTACCCCATTACTGGTTACGACTTCCTACTAGAACCCAGGTAACTACCTACCTGAATGGGGCCATTCACAAGTGAGCACCAGATTGATATTTAAGTGTCAGCTTGCAGGGATTTTAGTCACTGATCAGGTCTTCTGTTAGCACAGAGTACTCCAGTCAAACTATTTCTACTGACTAACTAACTGACAGGTGTCAACATAGAACTTTGCAAAGATGTGCAGCAGTTCAAGTTGCCACACTCCCTCCATGTAGCACACAAAGCAAGAAGAGAAGAAAGTAAAAAGAAACGCAAAATAGAGACAGTAAACAGAGATATGAGGCAAAAACAATAGTAGTATCGCAGGACAATATAGTTTTATTGGGTATTATGATTCACAAGGAGTGGATGCATCTCTGCTAGTCATTGAGAACGATCACTTTGAGTCATATCACCGATTGTCTCCAGCCTTCGTTGGTCCTTACCATCTCGACGACCCCAACCAGTCAGGAAGTCTACACCTGCGTCCCTACGTGACTGCCTGGCTGGCTTGAACTAACTGTAGTGAATTTCATTGACTGATGAAGCCATGTTTTGGTTTGACCACCACCACTACCTCTTTTCCAACCCCATCCATCTTATGTCAGCTAACACTGACGGTCGAGTAAAGCGATGGTTAGGGATACATGCGTAACACATGTCCTAACCATCTCAACACACTTTGTTCTGGGGTGACAAGAAGTAATTACGATTGGAAACTAAAGTAACATATGTCCAGAATTAGGTGGTCAGTTACATTATTAAGAGTTTTAAAGAAACGAAGCAACCGAGAACTCAGAGGTTAACAAATAAGCCGGAGAAAATGGAGACGACATAGGACATTACGCGCGTCAGACAGGCACTCAAGTGGAACCCGAATGGGAAACATCGGGTTGTTCATATGCCTAAAAGTGATGAGAGTCTACATGCAATCGTGGGACCAGATAAACAGAGCTGTAGAGAACGGCAGAAAACGGAGATGTTATAATACTACCAGCAGAATTGAAAGGAACGGGTTTCGCTCCATTTGCGTCTCATCAGTCCAGGGATTGATACCATGTTTGCCACTAAAAGACTCAAAACTCATTTTTTTTCAAACACAACAATGTTATCCACAAGGGAAACGATATCAAATCTCTTATCCGTAGACAGGGCATCAGTTGTTATAGTAATTACAACACATACAACATTACACAGTATAACTAGTCATATTTGAATTAAAAAATAGAAAGGAATCAAGACTGAACTGATATAATACAACACAACACCTAGACACTGAACTTCAATGCAGACACCGTCACGAACCAACATTAATTAGAAAATCATTAAAATCCAGGAATCCCCTTGGATAGCCCCTATGACCCGGAAAGGGATCGGGTCCAGGTCTTTTAGGTTACGAGGTCCTCTCATCGACCATTCAACAACCAGATCGGAATTCAATAACTCGTGAACTCTAACTTCTTTCAGGTGGCAACTGTTGTTGTCATAAGTGCACTCTGGTGATGAAGAGTCCCAAACTGGGACGAAACAGCTGTCCAGTGTGCTACCTGGTGTTTTCACCGATAATTTTCTCTCACTGTTGTTGATTTGCGATGAAATCTGAATAATTTTCTATAGTTTGGTTTGTAAGGGTTAGTTATGTTTTTACGAGTTGATCACGGATTGATATCGGTTAGAGATCTATTGAAAACCAGCATGGAGTACTGGACAGCTGCTGTTTCATCCTAGTTTGGGAATCATCGGCAGTACGCACCCACCAACGGGGTTCGAACGCAGGACCTTCCGGTTACAAGGAAGGCTCGTATACCATTCAGCCACTGGGGTCGTGCTAAATCACGAATTAGTAGAAGTTAGAATTCATGAGCCACTGAATCGGGTTCTCTAACTGATATCAATCTGTGATCAACTCGTAGAAATCTGAATAATCTGAATATAAGAATATATGATAAAATCAATTATTTTTAAAAAAACAAAAAACGACTCACCCTTAAATGATCCAAGAAATGATAACGTTTTATTAATGTTTCTACTAAATATTGACTAGTCAGTTTATATACAGTGGACAACATCTGGTCGAAGGAAGGATCCGAATCTTGTTGATACATTGCTTGGGCTATATTACACACACACACACACGCACGAATAAGCATCAAGATAAGAATGGATAAAAGTGAAAAAAACGTGTTGTAGTAGTTAGTATAGAGCATAGGGGGGGGGGCGGCAAGGAAATGTGCTAAACAAAAACTACTACTACACGAATTATAAAAATTTACAGGGGTTTTCGTTACTTCACAACTACTGGTATGTAGCAGAGTTGAATGGAGGAAACTACAGCACACTCTCACTAGTGACTTTTATTTTGCAAAAGAAGCAGAAGTTGGGATGACGTAATAAGTGTGGGTTAACGACTCTAATCAATAAGCTCGTGTAGAATAGACAGGAACTAGTGGAAAGACGATAAAGTGTTTTTACATAAATTCTGTATGGAAAAGCAATGTTATTAATAAACAGTAATAGGGTGGTGATAAAATATAGATGATGGGAATAATAATGATAATATAATAATAATAAACTTACATAATAACTTACGTATACGCCATCTGTACATCGCTGAATCCCTAGCAGCGGTCTAACGTTAAGGATAAGATGCCGCTTTTCACCATCTTAGCGTGTGTTTATATGAATTAACTTGCTTGCGTGGAGCAAAGTATATCGGCTGTACGCAACGTCAAGTCCACAAACGTATTCTGGAACACTGTCCAGCTTGGTTAGCCAGCCAGAGGAGAAAAGAAGAATAGCAGCAGCTCTATCCTCGAACACTTTGTCATCTCCGGACATCGAGCACCCCCACTAGCATGAATGCTTCACAGTGCTACACAGAGTCCCTGAATATCGTACAAAGGGACTTCACGTACGCCATCTGTACATATCTGAATCCTTGGCTGTCAGGGATTCAGCTATGTACAGATGGCGTATGCGTAAGTTATTATGTAAGTTTATTATTATTCCCATCATCCATATTTCATTACCACTCTATTACTATTTATTAATAACATTGCTTTTTCATACAGAATTTATGTAAAAACACTTTATCGTCTTTCCACTAGTTCCTGTCCATTCTACACGAGCTTATTGATTAGAGTCGTTAACTCACACTTATTACGTCATCCCAACTTCTGCCGCTTTTCTAACTTACAACTGGTCATCCCTTCTTACACCTTGCATTGTGCAATACATTTTCCGAGGACAAATTTGCTCAGTATCTGATTGGTCTAAAAAAACTTTCATTTTGAGTCAACAGGTGATGATGTGTCGAGCCAATAAGTCGTCTGATTCCTCAGAGCATGTGCTCAGGAAATTGAGATGCACCAATATATATTCCAGCACGACACAACTGTTATCGCAAAACGTCATATCCCCCTATTCGCCCGCAAGTCCCAGGATGCCAAACAGTGAAGGGTATGGAAAGCTGCTGGGATCACATTCGTGGAATCAGTCAAAAAAACCTACAGAAGTCGTGTCCCACAACATGATATCACCTATTGTGAAAGACAGTTAGTTCCCAGCACTATCCAAACATGAGAAGCCATTGAATCTCTGAATCGCCTACACGCTGACGACATCGGATGTTGACAACTCTAAGAAGACAAATATAATGGATCAGCTTTGATAAGTGCTTCAGTATCTTTGAATTGATGTTAGATGGTTGGAGACAGTCGGCGCACAGACTAGCATCTAGGTTTCGTGTTTGTTAACACTCATCAGCAAGGCGTGCATCTGCGCAATCTCGGAGGAACTGATGCCATCCTATCTGATTAATATTATCAAGGACTTGGCTGATAACATTGATTCCACCTTAGTGAACAATGAATGCACTTCAGCGCATCACCTGGTTAGTGTATTAAAAGAAATACCTGAATGGCAGACTGGTGTGACTTAAAACACAACTATTGTACAGAAAATATTGTATAAATCTATGGGCTACGAAATTTCACTATACCATAGCGTAGTGAATACACCAAGTTTTTACTCCTTCATCGATTATGTTAACTCTGTTTACAGCCTGTTGCATTTTGTACTCATTTAAGGGAGAGAAAAAAGGAAACACTGTGGTGGTGGAGGTTTAAAGTGGGCAATATCATTTTTATTCCTTCACGTTCCAAGTGGAACATAGAGGGCTTCAAGCTAGAGGCTTGAAGTTTCTGTAGCAGAAATTTATTTTTACAGAATGGGGTTGCTGCTGGCCTCATGACCAACCTTGCCTCTTTACCAGTCTTATTACTAGCTTAGCGAGGTAAAGGAGTGCGTCCGTCGGTCGGGGATCGGACCCCGGACCATGTGGCATGGTCGGCGAGCGTCCTAACCGCTGTGCCACCAACGCAAGGTGGGCAATTTATTTTTACTATTATTATTCCCTTGCGTTTCGAGTGGAACATGGGACTTTAGAAGCACATCTATCTCCATTACACTTCCTACTTTTCCGGCTGGTTTCACGACTGCTCACAAGCTATATCACTTTCCACTCACACTATCTCACCCATCTCACGCTCAAAAATCGTCACCCAATTTCCTTTCGAGTTCCAGCCGAGGGCATAACACACGTAAATGTCAACCAATAGTCTACTCAGAGTTGTTTTTTTTCAATCCATCATCCTTTCCGTCTGCATATTTGTCCGGCAATAAGTTGTTGGTCAGTTTGTTCCCAAAGTTGTTTTTTTTTTCTTGCCAATTCTCTCTGACCAGCCATCTGATCTTCAGTATGAAGCGAAGGCAGATGTCGATGAATGTCCGCAGCAGCACACTGTTGGAAATGCTTTTCGTGACACGTACGCCAAGTCTCTGACTACTATATAAAAGCACTGACTAACATCACATGACATTAGCGTTGAAAATCCAAATCTCCTCAGTTCTCTTCGCTGATTACACAACGAATTTCCATACTGATTTCAGGGTTAATAAAGATCATTCCTGGATGGTTTTGTGCTATGCTCACATCTATGTCACTTGTAGTTGAAACGATGCTGCCCTAGCCTTATAAGTGAGGCTAGGTAACTTCTATTCATTCCTTACATTCACAATTGAACATAAGGCGACTTCAAACTGTTTTGAAGTTTCACTGGTTGTATTGGTTTTATTTTTAAGGAAGTAAAATTTGCTGACCTCATATATCTAGCCACCTCTCTTTTCTCGGCCTTCGGATTGTTGGCTTCCGTCGTTTTCAGTGCACACAGAGTGAAGAGGAAGTAAAGAGCCATCAAGTAGAGGAGTTGCATTAGTAGAAGGAAGGCAAGATAATAGAGATGAAGATGAAGACAAAGATGAGTGAGGATTAGAGAGGTTTCGCGTGCACTTCGGATTGTGAGGGCGATTGTTACTTCCCGGCTGCCTACACCGTGGAAGTTGGTTGCGTGACCGCAGAGCCCAGGGGACAACTGCTTGAGGCCGGTCACACACGGCCTGTTTTTGTTTGTTCTTTTTCATTTGGTGTGTCTCAGTAGCATATTTATCACTTCTGCCCTGTGACACGGCAGCAGAAAGCGCGGTCCTTGTTAATCCGGGCCCCGACCGATCCGGCATGATATTTTGTGATTTACTTTGAGTCATAGCATTGGGTTGGGTAACTGCTTTCTGTCTAACCGCTATCCAAACAACCTTTCTGGCATGGTAGGACCTCAAGCGACATAAGTCTCAGCCAGTATAGCTTGTTGGGTCATTGCGGTGTTCAAGCCCGACCACCACGTCAAGGTAGCAGCTTTCGGTCGGGCTTCTCGGCCTTACTATCTATCGACTAGTAAGTACACTAGGCGAGGTTTTGAGATTACCCCAGCCAGGAGTCGAACTAGGAGCACATGTATGATTAGCGAATATTCTAGAATTATTTTTATTTATGTGAAACAAAGTTATTAAGAGAGAGAATGGAAGATACAGTGTATTCTTCTATTATAGCCAGTCCACTTGTACATAGTAGGCACGGGAGAATGTCAACAATTTGAGTAATATACGTCATTATATATATATATAATAATCTACACGAGTATTTTTTTTCCTTCACGTTCCCCAGTGGAACATAGGGATGCAAGCGAGTGGCTTGAAGTTTTTGTAGCAGGATTTATTTTACAGGATGGGATTGCTAGCCTCATGCCCAGCCCAACCTTTCCTCTTTACCAGCATTATTTCTGGCTCAGCGAGGTAAAGGAGTGCGTCGCTGGCCGGGGATCGAACCCCGGATCCTGTGCATGGTCGGCGAGCATCCTAACCGCTATACCACCGACGCACCTACACGAGTATGCGTTTGCATAAATACACACAAAATGCGAAATCTTATTATTGAATACAATAATAAACATACCTTTTGTAAGACGTGTCCGACGAATAGACTCATGATTTTTAATCCCGTCTTTCTCTCCACAAACTTGAACTAAAAAATTGACCGATTTTCCAGTGACAAGGATCTATGGAGATATTCACAAGAAGATGAAGCAAAAAAAAGAAAAGAAAAGAGGAGGAGAATAAACAGCACTGAGTAACCAAGTAACTCACCCATGCACACATACACACACAAAACAAGGAAGCAAAATCTACGATGGCATAGGTGGGTGAGTGGGAGGATAAAATGCAGTTTCAAAATAATAGAGAAGATTTGTAGCTCAGGTGGATGATTTGCAATTAATAGTGTTCTCTGAGCTGGTTGGTTTAGTTGCGGAGCTTTCGTCATCCTTTTGGACAACATCCCCTTCCAGCACAATTTTTAGCATAAATTGAAATGATTTAAATTTCTTCATGAGTGATATAATTGCTTCTCATATTAACTATCTTTACATATGTATGGACCATTTTCTATTGACTTGGATTTTAAACTTTCTGGTCACCTGATTTACTTTTTATTAGTTGGTATATTTCGTCTATATTAACGTGCTTGTTAATTGCACGTTACTTGAGTACCAGGCTTCTAGGAATTCTCTGGAACTATTGGTGTTTCCTCTGTCTAAGATTTTGACATTCTCCCAATCAAACTGATGTCCATAGTTACCTATATCCATTGATATGAAAGAATATGTATCATGTCTTTTCACGGCTGATTTGTGTTATTTGATTCTAGTTCGAAGGAAACACCCACTTTGACCAACGATGTAATGTCTGTTACAGTTCATGCGATTTATTTTGTAAATGGTATTAATTTTTTTCCCTTTTTTGTTGGATCTTCCGGTTCGCACAATATCGAATTGAGTGATTTGACTGGCTTGTGTGCTATATCTATATCAAACGGTTTCAGTATTCTAGCTGTTATTTCAGAGATATTTCTCATGTATGGTAGAATGAATTTTCTTGTGGTCTTTGATGATGGTTTCTTGTTGGTGTTTTGATTAGACTTTAAACACTTTTTGATGAGCGCGATTGCTTGCCATCTGTTCGATAGAGTTCATGAAATCGATGCATCCCTTAAGATAGCTTAAATTCAAAACAGCTCCAGGTTGATACACATCACTGAAGCGATTGCGATTAAACGACTAAAAATCGAACTAACTAACGCATCCAGAAAAAACCCACTGTTAATTTTGTTTTACCTCCGAGTAGACTTACTTTATGTTATTTGACTGCAATTCCCCACCCTAGTTATATATATCTCTGTCTACATTCTTGAATGGACTCTTTCCTGACCGTTTTTCAGCTAGATTATTTGACCCCAGCATGAGTGTATTTTGAAATAAATACATTATTGTTTATTTAATTCCTTTTACGTTCCAAGTGAAATACAGGGCCGGCTTCAATCTTCAGCTTTGAAGTTTCCTACCCTTCATTTTGTCTGAATGTATATTCTTAGCCCGACTATTTTCTTTGTCTTCTGTTCAACCAAATTATTGACCTGATTATAGTTTATATGGTTGGAGTCAATCGGCCACAGGCAGGAAGCCTTACCGCGACCTAGGTTTCGTGCTAGTTGGCACTTGCCAGTCAGTCAGGCAGTCAGTCAGCAAGGCTTCGTATCTGAAACCACCACCTTGAAGGAAGGAACTCATGTATGTCCCCCCCCTTCATCTGTGATTCGAAGCCATCCGAGTCACCCAGTGCTGCCCTGCTGCAGTCAGAGACGTTACCACCACTCTGAGCTCTTGGCCCCCTAACGTAAAAGTGTAGATTGCAGATGTTACACTTCTCTTTAATTTGCAACATGCTTTTATGCCTTTTCCACTACTACTACTATGCCACTTAATCAATCAAGTGATATAAATAACCTGCACTTTTTATAATCAATATAACTTAAGTACCTCAATATATTCTATATATAATAATAGTAAACTATTTATAGGTAGGTTGTATGCATCTAAGTAGAACCAAAACCAAAGAAAGAGAGTGATAGACAGGGAGAGAGAGAGAGAAAGATAGAGAAAAACTCTAATGAATGACGTCATCTTAACCTGCTCACTCACACAATGTGTTTCTCTTCTTGCTTGCTTTTTTTATTCAAGTTTATATCAAGGTGGGGAGTGGATCGAGGCGTGGGGGGAGGCATTAAGTGTATGTGTAGAAATCAAAACGATATAATCATCATCCTTTGCATTTTTCTCTTAGCAAACATGACATATATATATAGACAGAAAAATACATCACTGCATATGCTCAGCCAAACAACTATTTTTTCAAAATATCTCTATATAATCTCTCTCTCTCTCAAAAAAAACAGGTGATATGATTCCAGATGGACTGAGTGACTGACTGACTGGTTTTAACACACAGAACTTTACACAGATGTGCAGCACTTCGAGAGTGAGGAGAGATTCAAAAAAACAGATAATAAATAAATAGGAGTGTGGCGGAAAAAGAATAGTAACACGGAAGAACAATAGAGTCTTATGGGATATGATTGGCAAATCACAAAGAGGGAATTCATCTGCGCCAGTCATTGAGAACGATCACTTTGAGTCATATCGCCAATTGTCTCTTAGCCTCCGTTGGTTGTTACCATCTCGAGGACCATGTAAGCTGATATAGGGTCAGGCTGGAAAAGAGCTACTCGCGGTCAAACCAAAACATGGACTCACCAGTCAATGAAATCCACAACAGTTAGTCTAAGCCAGCCACGTAGGAAAGTGTAGACTTCCTGACTGGTTGGGGTCCTCGGGACGATAAAAACCAATGGTCACATGGCTCAAAATCGTTGTCAATGGCTTAGATGCATCCACTCCTTGTGACTTATGATTTCCAATGAAACTGTTTTGTTCTTCGTTATTACTATACCTTTGTCTCACACCTCTGTTTACTGTCTCTATTATGCCTTTCTGCTTTCTTCTGTTGCTTTGTGTGCTACATGGAGGGATTGTGGCGACTTGAACTGCCGCACATATGTGCAAAGTTCTATGTCGAAAACAGACATCTCGAGGACCAGTCAGGAAGTCTACATCTCCGTCCCTACGTGACTGGCTGGCTGGTTTAAACTAACTCTTGTGGATTTCATTGACTAATGAAGTTATGTTTTGGTTTGATCACCACCACCACTAGCTCTTTTCCAAACTGATCAATCCCTAAGTCTGCTAACATTGACCGTCGAAGGAGACGATGGCTAGGCTAGGCGTGAGTAACACATGACCTAACCATCTCAATCGATGTAACTTCACAATGTCATCGACTGATTTCTTCACCCTACTTACCTGGCACTCACTGGACGACTAACCTCAATACTGCTCACCCCATTGTATCACCACCTAACACGGGAGATAGAACGCAGGCACCTATGATCAACGACAGCCAGCTGGCCTTTTCATGTCTTCCAATCTCAATGGTCAGGTCTCACAGCGATAAAGGAGGACGGAGAGAACTGCAGTTTTCCAGTGGTTCTCTAACAGATGTCAGATCATGATGAAATCCTCCATCCAATCAATTAGTAAATAGGCTGAAAATCACAGACCAGTGGAGTGATACGCGATTAAATACGAATGAATGAAATCCTTATGCACAAACAACTATGTATAACTTCAATGATTCCTTTGTCCAGTGAAACAGTTGCTTAGTTCACTGTTCAGTTCTCAAAATAACATCAATTTACCACAAAAACTAATCGAAGCTCGACATAAGTCACAAAAATGAGTAACTTTCAAGTGTCAGATTCTAGTTGCATCAGCCAACGCCAATGGGTCGATCGCTGACGAAATCTCAGCACGGATACAGAGGGCTAGTTTACGCCGTCTCTGGCTTAGTAGACATGATATCTGACCGGCTATCGACCGAAGGACGTGTGTACTGCTCAGCAGTTCGCTCAGTCCTCCTTTATGGCTGTGAGAGTGAGACATGGCCATTGAGAGTGGAAGACATGAGAAGGCCAGCTAGTTGTCGTTGATCATAAGTGCCTGCGTTCTATCTCCCGTGTCAGGTGATGGTATAATAAAGTGAGCAATGTTGAGGTTGGGCATTGGTCGAGTGCTAGGTAAGGAGGGGGAATCAATCGACGAGCCTGTGAAGCTACAGCGACTGAGATGATTAGGACATGTGTTACGTATGCCTAGTTATCGCCTTCTTCGACCAACAGGCTGGAAAAGAGCCAGTGGTGGTCAAACCGAAACATGGCTTCATCAGTCAATGAAATCTACAACAGTTAAATTTAACCAGCCAGTCACGTAGGGAAGGAGGTGTAGACTTCCTGACTGGTTGGGGTCCTCGGGATGGTAAGAACCAATGGAAGCCGGAGACAATTGGTGATATGGCTTCAAATCTTTCTCAATGGATGGCGCAGATGCATCCACTCTTTGTGATTTCGCCTATCCAATAAAACTATTATTCTCCCATATTTTTTATTCCTTCACGTTCCCTCAGTGGAACATAGGGATTCAAGTTAGAGGCTTGAAGTTGCGGTAGCAGTGGTGTTTATTTTTACGGGATAGGGTTGCTGCTGGCCTAATACCCAACCTTCCGTCTTTATCAGTCTTATTACTGGCTTAGCGAGATAAAGGAGGAGTGCGTCCGTTGGCCGGGGATCGAACCCTAGACCACATGAAGCGTGGTTGTCGAGCATTCTACCGCTGTGTTACCAACGTACGTAATTCCGTATTACCACTGTTTTTTCCTCGCACTTCTGTTTATTATCTCTCTCTCTCTTTTGTTGAATTTTGCCTTACTCTGTTCCCTTGTTTTGTGTGCCACACGGAGAGAGTGTGTGTGGCAACTCGAAATGCTGCACATCTGTGCAAAGTTCCAGTTTGAAACCAGTCAGTCAGTCAATCAATCCTTCGGGGTGATAGGTGTTTTTACTGCAGAAGAGTCCCATAATAGGACGAAACAACCACCCAGAAACTCCCTCGTAGTTTCATTGGTTCTATGAATGATGATGATGATATAAATTGGGATAATTGTCTTAAAAATGAGAAGAAAACTGTTCTGAGGTGGATCAAGACAACAACAACAACAACAGAAAAAGAAAAAGAGAAACAATCTCACTTACCTTATTTGCTTGACTCAAGCTAATAAATTTCGGTAGCATATTAAGCCGTAGTGAATACTTATCATACCATAATCGATCGATTTTTACAGACATATTAGCTTGAACAAAAAATTCTTGATATGTATCCTCTAAATAACCATTATAAATCCACTGGTTAATAAAGTGTAATACACCTGAAGCAACTTTTGACATTAAATGCCCCATAATCGATTGTACTTCAGGATCTCCGTGAAGTGTATGCGCGTAGACTTTAGAGGCTAATTCACCGCCTTTAAGACCACGACAAACATTGCACAGAATGAGTAGAACGCTTAATCTTAACCGCGGTTCTGTAGTCCATAAGATTAAACGAGTTAATGTCATTGGTTGACTGGTTGTCATTGGTGCTGATGTATTTCGACTGTAAATTGTTGAAGTAGTATCTCCACCGCTTGGATTACGATCACCACGATGATCAACTCTACCAGGTAGTAAACCGGATGCGTTGTCTGCATATCTAGCATAGTCACTAGCCTGATCTGAATGACTCAGCTGATCACTGAAATTTTGTTTCTCTTGATTCAATTCAGACTAAATGAGAGTAAAAAGAGGAAAGAAGTGAGAGTAGAGTATTGATTTCAGTAGTATAATAAAGTAACTAACAAGCATGATAATGATTCTAAGCAAGTTTATTCTTTATCTAATATAAGTATAAAACTTGGGCACTGTGGTAGAGCCTCAGGATGGTCGCGGGTAGGTGCCTTGCGCTGCAGGTTGGCCACCCCTCCGCACACCTCTTGAAATGCTCCCATATGACCGGACGTCTTACATAGCCTCTCCTGAGGAAGTCCTACTCACTGCCTTCACGTGGCGGAGGTCTTTTTCACCAAAGTGAGAGGGCGAAAGCGGATGCCCGGCGTTCTTCACCGGGTTGACTGTCCATTGGATGACAGTCTAGGGGAGATGGCTAAACCCTGATTCCAAACCTCAAACGACTGGCGTATGAAGCTCACTGGAGCTCACCGGCAGATGTATGGACAAAGGGCTTGTTGGATGTCCTGGATGTCTGGCCCCATTCAAAAAGGTGTATGAACCGAACTCCGGTCACCGGCTGCGAATGGATAGTGGACTCCCTACTCCACTCCTACTGCCTTGTAGGCCACACTTGGTTGTGTAAAGGCTAGAGCTGCACTCTCAAACAAAAGGCCGAGCGATTCTGGGGACATCACTCGTACCGAATTCCCATGAAACTTCATGAACTCTCTTATTCGAGATGTTCATGAAGCCGGCTCATCCCCCCGTAGGAGATAGCCGAAGTAAAGTAAGTACTGTGGTAGAGTATAACTCCATAATGGTTAAGATTTTATTTTGATAAATCACACAGTGTTGTACAGTTATATTAACTGATTTATTCTTTATCTTCTTCTTCTTCGTTAGCACGTCGAATTGGTGGTGATTTCCAGTCTACACAGTATTCGATGTGGCATTTCACCACAGTCGACTTTACAAATCGGAATTATTCAAACAATAACATGTGAGATCTGCTTTGGCACCGTAAATGGGAATCACAAGTAAGCAAACGCTGAAAATGCTACTGACTGACTGGTTGATATTTGTGGTGGTGTGATACAGACAATGTATGCCAACGGAATGTCATTCTCACATGTTCCCACAGTTCAATACTGTATTGGCAACAGAATACTATGTATGCGTATTCGAACATTCTATTTCTTGTCGTTTGATGTAAACCAAAACAGCGGTTTGATTAATGAAAAATATACCGTGGCGGCTTCCGTGTCTTGCCTTCTGTTGTTACATCTGGTGTCGCTGCCTGCCGACAAATGAACAACATATGTCCTGCAGTTTTTGATGGAGACATATGGATCGTCGGGTAGAACTTCGAGGCTGTTGCACAGTTGAGTGGCGTTCAAGATCCATCAGCGCTGACGCTGTTACTTGGAACGCTGCTGGGAGGTTGGACGACGGCAGCATATGATAGTGTGAGGCAACACTGGCAAAAACGAGCCAGGGTCATCCAAACTGCCCCCACAAAGTGGGAAGGACCATACACATGGTGTCACCGTGAGACGGGGTCACATGTATACGATCGTAAATGCAAACAAAGAGGAGCGGGTGAATGTCAGTGAGCTCCGGAAGTTGATACAGCAAGGGGCATCAATTATTAATGTGAAATGACTCCTATGACCCAAGTAGCCTAGTGGATAACGCTTTGGTATTTGAAACGAATATAATACAGGGTTCAAGCCTCAATAGGGGGAACACGCCATCACTCGGTCTTAACTATTCAGTCGTTGGATTCGCACTGACTCAACAGATCTGAAGCTGGGGATGATTTAGGATAGACTTTTGTTAAACACAATACTATTCAAAACGGATAGTCAGTCAGTCAGTCAGTCGCGTGTTTTCTCCAGCCTACACTCAGAAAAAGCTGTGATACATCGAGAGACACCTATCTAAATCGATAGTCGTTCGTTTTTCAAGGTTGTTGTCTTCAGAATATCATTGATGATAAAAGATGACGATAAAGACGTAATGGAAAACTGTATTGTGATGGTAGTGGTCGTGGTTACTTTCACCAACTACACTTGAGGTTTTTTTCTATAAGGCATTCACAGAATACCAATAAACTGTGCAGGGAAACCTGGTCTAACAAGTAATTCATTAGAAGAACAGTTTCTCCCAATGGATACGAGGCAACCTTAGTGCTATATATATAGGGAAATATAACGACGGTATTCTAGAAACTGGTAGAAAACGGGCGCGTAATGGATGCACCCACGACCCGCTCTTCGTTAATTTTTCCCTATGTTTTTTACAAGTTCCGCTATGTATAATAACAGATGGGCATGAAACAGTATGAATTACTGGCACCAGTTGAATGGTTGAATATTCGTCTGCTACACGTGGCGTGCAGGTTCGATTCCCCGCTGATAAACTTCTAAATCCCGCCTAGTTAGCCAACCGGTAGAGTAGAAAGAACCGAAAAGATGGAAAGTAGGGCATGAGATATATGAGTCTCTACGCCATAGAGAAACAATCCCATCGCCAATGAAACTGCGGACACACCTTGAAGTCTTCTGCTTCACTCAGAACATAAAAGGAATATGAAAACAAACATTTGAGAAACAAGAGAAAACATTCCAATAGGCTTCAAAATAGATAGTGCGTCAGTGACTCGCTCACTACTAAACTACATAAAAAATGCTCACCAACCCTACACAACTCAAGTACATAAGTGGTCTGGAGGTTCGAATTCCAACCGACACACTGGTAAACCTCCTCCTACACCTCACCTAGTCGGCAGCAAGCCCAGGGCAGTGAAAGAAGCTGGGATATGAGGTTAGTAACCCTACCCTGTCAAAAAAATTTTTAAAAAAACACCACCACCGCCACAAGCATTACTGAAACTTCAAGACATCAAGCTTGAAGCGCGACATTATTATTATTGTTTCCTCTAATTCCCAGAGGAACATAGGGCTTCAGCCGTGCGTCTCCATTGCGTTCGGTTCTCTGCTAAAGTCTTCACTTGGCTCCAAGTCTGCCCACACGCTTTCATATCCTCTTCACGTGACCTCCTCCAAGTCACCGTCGCACTGACGACCAACTCGCCGCTTGCCTTTCGGGTTCCACTCGAGTGATGGCTTGTCTAGTGATGTCACTTGATGGGTTCCTCAGAGTATGGCCAGCCAATCCATCTCTATTTCTTCCTGCCTATTTGTTTCACAATTGGTTCCTGGTTGGTTTGCTCCCAGTGATCTCTGTTGCTGATCTTTTCTGGCCGGCCATCTAATCTTGAGTATTGAGCGAAGACAACTGTTAATGAAGGTCTGTAGTTTGTTTGAGATGCTCTTTATGACGCGCAGTGCAAGTCTCTGGTCCGTATAGTAGCACTGACTGACTTCACATTGGAGTTGAAAATCCGGATCTTATTTTTGATGCTGAGTGCTGTTGACCTCTACACAGACTTGAGAGTAATGAAAGCTTGTCTTGCTTTTCCGATCCTCGCTGCTTTGATATACTCGTCAGTTCCGTTGGCCTGTAGTTGAAACGATGCTTCCCAGGTAGGTAGGTGAAGGAGGTTGTTTCTTTCAGGTTCCTTCCATTTATGCTGATTGTTGTCTGTTGTTGGTGTTGCCCAGTAATCTTCATCACCTGTTTTCTCTATGTTCACCTGAAGTCCCTGCTATCTTTGATGCTTCTTCTGCCAACTTGTTGCTTTTCACTTGCATATCTTCCAGTTTGTGGGAAATCAGACATATATCATCGGCGAAGTCCAGATCCTCCAAGCGCAATATATTTCACTCAAAATGCAAAGGAATGAACAAACAAATGGACCTGGGGTGGTGGTGGTAGTGGTGAAAATAAAAAACAAACAAACCAATCAAAAACAAAACAAAAAAAAAAAAATTCATCACTACATCTCAACTGACTCACTCACTTCTAAAGTAGCAAGTAGACTATAATATTCCGTCATATGTTCATGTAATCCAGTAGTAAAACATTGTAAGATAACACCACCATATCGATTATTTTGAGCACAGTTTATATACTGTTGAATTCCGTTGTGTAGCCAACCACAGATAGAAATTCTTCGAATTGCATCTTTTTGACTATCAGAAATATTTGGACTTATCACTAACTTGAAAATAATTTTTTAATTAGAAACAAAACAAAAACACAAAGAAAATAAGAAAAGGTTTCAAGTATTGATTTTTTTTGTAGAGATTTTGATTGACATCGCTTAGAGAACCATTGGGAAACCTGGGACTACTAGGCAGCCGTTTCGTCCTAGTTTGGGACTCTTCATCAGTACGCACCCACCGCCAAGGTTCGAACCCAGGACCTTCTGGTTACAAGGCGAGCTAGCTCGTAGACCATTAAGCCACTGGGACCCGATCCAATGGCCCGTCCATGAATTTTAACTTCTGCCAATTCACGACATAGCGCAACCGCTAGCCAATGTCATCGATGGCGAGTATTTGTCCTCACACCCGACCTGCTGCACCCTACTGGTCACGACTTCCCACTAGAACCCCAGGTAACTACCTACCTGAATAGGGCCAGTCACCAGTGAGCATCTCATTGATATTATGATTATTATCTAAATCTCATCATAGTTTTTATCAAATTTCGATAAATATAATATAAACGATAAAATCAATAGTAGAGAGTAACAATGTGGTACTTAAAATCTGTCACAGTCAATCGCAGTTAGTTCATACCTCTAAACTAGCTCAGATTATGAGTTTTCTAGGGGGTTCCCGATTCATCTCAATGTGAATTTCTTTGAGAACCACCACCATTGAAAAACCGGGATTCCTACCGAAATCCCTGTATCATCAAACATTTAGCCTGAATATCAACCTACAACTCATTACCGGCCTCATGGATGGATATTCTGAAGTCTTAATGAGAAGTTGTGGTCAGTGGGGTGAAGTGGTGACATTAAGTTTCACGCCTGCTGCCGTCCTTGGATGTGGGTAGCCATCCATTTCTCAGGCTCCCTCTCTCCGGAATCGAACCCTGATTCCCCGTTACCCGTTATTATATCATGGTAGGCAGATCACCTACCAGGGCAGACATTTGAAAGATCCGTCGCCGACACAAGGCCGACTGAGATCATTAAAGTTATCCAGAGTCATTACAGAATGCAAAGGAGACAGCCGAAACTGCCCCCGGTTGGTTCTGTTCTAATAAATGCACCCGTTCCCTTGCGGATCAGGGAATAATTGCATGTATTAGCTCTAGAATTACTACAGTTATCCATGTGGCATATATAATATAAGGAACCATAGCTGATTTAATGAGCCATTCGCGGTTTCACCATTGCAAGGTATGTACTCAGACATGTATGGCTTAATCTCTGAGACAAGCATTTGATTACTGGCAGGATCAACCAGTTTATTCACACAGTGATACACCCATTGACTGGATATTGGTTTTCAGGTGAACCAAACACACCCATCCCTGCCTCTTGCGAGACAAGAACGGCATGCAGGATCATCCTGTGGCGCAACCACTCGAGTGCCCTCTTCCTCGGCGGACCATTCGCACCTTTAGTATATTAATGATAGGTAAGCATTGTTACGCCGATCATTGATCGCGTCAATCAATTATGCAAGCCCAATAGAACTCATCTCGCATACAAGACCAACCAAACGTATTATTATAGGCAAGAGCAGCACGCGTACTGACCATAGTATTGTTACTATTATTATTATTATTATCATTACTACTATTATGACTAATTGCACAATTTATATTCACTATCGTATTATCCTATAGACAAAACACCATGATTGGTTTATATTTGAATTTTTATTTGTAAACTTATATATATTAGAGTTAAGCCTGATGAGATCTAATTGAAAACAATATTGTTCGCTTAAATGTGTGTTGTTCTAAATTATACATCTAATAAACAAACTAATATGGAATTACTTACTACCACAGTGCCCAAGTTCTACACATATATTAAAATTCAAAAAATTTAATAAACAAGAACTGGTAGAGCTAGTGTCTTGATGGCTAAGGGATAGAACTCCCGGCAGTCACGCACGTGGTCCGATTCCCGGCAGACACACTCCCTGTGTTCCAACCGGAATGCGAAGGAATTATTAAAAGAAAACTAATAAAACGTTTTACTTACTTCAAAGGAATCCACTGTATCCTTAAGTTTAACTAAATGCCCACCCCCACCGCTCATTACAAATAATAATTCACGGAGGATATCAGCTTCTGGAACCGTTGTCCGACTAGGAGCTGAAAGATAATTTGAAGAAAAACAAAAAAAGAAAGAATTTTACATCACATTTCTATTCAATGTGTTGACAACATTTTTGTTTAAAAATTTTATTGATTAGTGAAAGTCAACCAGACAGTTTATTCGTAATGAGGCAAACAAAACTCCAGCAGAGTAACTGACTGCTGGTCAATTTTTAAAGTGGTCTTTTAACCAACCAATAAGAAAATTTGACTTTCCATAACAAGCGATGACCAATACAGCTAAAGATTCCTCCTCTGCTGGATGATGATGGATTGATGTTTTTGACTGATATACGCTTATCTAGAGCCTCACAGTAGTATTATCAAACTATATGTGACGCAATTTTCTTCACTAAGCTACCTAGAACTTGAGTACAAACACATACTACAATGGTAAATCTATCGAAACTCGGTGTCGAACAAACATTGCGATCAACTATTCTTATACAATTTGTAGACAGACTCAACTTTTACTCTCAAAAATGGTGATATAAAAGGGTGAAGGGTATTTCCACAGGATCAAGTTCAGATATTGTAACACGGTTTTCGGAATAAGCTCCTTAGTAATAGTAATAATAATAATCTACTTTATTCCAAAAATGGAATGGAATTCTCAGTATTTCTCACATAATTGCATCTGATTTACTCAAAATATAAATAAAATTATAAATTAAAATAAAATTAACCAGAGGAATTTGTCCATATTTACGACATAAAATCAAAAATATTCGAAGCACGAATTGATATTATTAAATATAATAATGATAATAATAACAGTGAGTTTGTTTCAAACAGTATTGTCGATTCAGTTTGAAAATTTTAGCATTTTATAGATTATTGAATCTAATGTTCTGTTGGTATAGCAGCATGGTGAGGGGAAATACAAAATTAACAGTTATAACACAGCTTGAATGATGTTCACACTTATGAAAAAATAAACAAATAAAAACAAAAATATTGAGAGGATTATAAATGTAAGAAGTACAATAACAACAAAGGGTGATGTTGTAAGGTTGGAGGAAATGGTTTATTTAGTAGTGCAAAGAAGGTTAGTTAGTTCACGCCTGACACTATTTTCATCACATAAAAAACGTGCTGCCAAATATGGTATCGTGGAATTTTTATACCCAGACGTACGTTCATAGAATCTTCTGAAAAGACTTCTTGTTTTACCTGAGGAGACACAAGGTTGGAGTTACGGGTGTTGCAGTGGATGCTCACAGTCTGACAAAATTCCTTTAGCAAATTTGTTGCATGAAATCAAGTGCCCATCAGTGACAATGTCAACGATATGTCCCAATGGGATAACATCACTCGCCCTACTGACTGATAGTCATCAGAGTTCTACGAAGTATGACATAGTCTTCTTTAAGCAATCCAGGAAAGAATAAACAAGGGTGAAGAGTAAAGAAGAATAGGTAAGATGCACGAGTTGACAAACTGTAAGATGAGGAGGGGTTGGTTGAGCTATGCCTGAGTGCCTTAACTTCTTAATGTACAAAGTCAGACGAAATATTCTTTTAGAAATCGCTAAGAGACACGATCACTCCGTAACTTCCAATAGTATAACCATTTGTATCTTCACGTACTTGGTGACTAGCGAATAAAAACCACCTGGTTGTTGATATTTCACTAACCAGAAAAGTTGGAATCTCTAATTTTATATACTAAAAGTTGAGTGTCTAAATCAGTGAGTATCCGACATCCCTACTTATTTTGATTTGACACTAGTAACTAGTATGATGCGTCTAGTCTTCTCTTTGGTGCAGACTGAATTCTATCAGTCAGGTTGTAATGTGGCCACCATTCTAGGTAGCTCGCCATCACGGTGTACATTGTTTGTGATGATATTAGATGGTTGGAGGCGATCGGCAGGAAGCCTTGCTTGACCTAGGTTTCGTGCTAGTTGGCACTCGTCAGCAAGGCGTATCTGCAACCTTGAAGGAACTCGTGTCCCTTCTGAGATTCGAACCCGCATCACCCAGTGGTGCAGTCAGAGACGTTACCAATGAGCTATTCGGGCTCGCGATTCACCTACAGTCCTACAGGAGGTAAATCGCGAGCCCGAATAGCTCATTGGTAACGTCTCTGACTGCACCACTGGGTGATGCGGGTTCGAATCTCAGAAGGGACACGAGTTCCTTCAAGGTTGCAGATACGCCTTGCTGACGAGTGCCAACTAGCACGAAACCTAGGTCAAGCAAGGCTTCCTGCCGATCGCCTCCAACCATCTAATATCAACCTTACTTATAACATGGCAAACTTTTATTTTGAACACTTGAGTTCCACCTATCTTGTTTGTTTTTCACTTTTATATTACACACCAAAGTCAAAATGTTGTGGTGTTTCCACATGACCTGGTATTTTAGTCATAGAACTGACCAAATTGTTTCGAAAGTCAGTGCCTTATTAAACTAGAAACAGGGTAGTTCACATGTTTTAAATGATGTCGACTACAGACAGTACACGGATGAAGATGTTCGGTAGCACAGTGGTTATGACTCTCGCCAACCATGCACATGGTCCGGGGTTCGATCCCCTGCCAACGCACACCTGATATCTATGGTCGGCCTGCAAAAATTGGGCCACCGATATCACATGCTGAAAATGCTATGCCTGTAACGAAAAATACGGTGTGGAATCAAGCTGTAATCAAATATCAAAAAAAAAATGTTAAAAAGGCAGTAAGGATCGGAAAAGCAAGACAAACATTCATTGCTGTAAAATCGGTCTGCATAAAGAACAAGATTCGGATTTTCAACACTAACGTCAAAGCAGTGTCTCTGTGTATGTTGCGTCACGAAAAGCACTGTCAGTAGCACTACACAGACTCTTGTATCAACAGCTGCTTTCGCTACATTCTGAAGATAAAACAACCAAAAAGAAGATGCACAACAGGGAACTCTGCCACTGAAACAACCAATTAAGTATTTGAACAAAGCAACAACTACAGTTTTAGCAGAATAAAATGGTACCATCTTTTATTTCGTTGCCTTCTCGTCAGCTGCTTACAGGGCAAAAACATTATTACATGTATCTACAAAAACAATTTAACATACTTGCACAGAGTTCATTTTAAACAAAAATCAATCGATCAATATACACATACACTAATAATATATATATGCAATATTGAACACAATTCCGAGCAATAATAATCATACACAATGAAGACTTTTCAGTATCTCGCATTAGGATGAAAAATATCCAGTTACCAGGGCAAAGAAAGACTGATAACCGCTTCTTTCTGAACGCACAAATCAGGTTTTAGGCGCTTGATGGAAATGGCTTCAGCAAACTTAAGGAGAGTGCGTCGGTGGTATAGCTGTTAGGACGCTCGCCGACCATGCACATGGTCCGGGGTTCGATTCCCGGCCATCGACGCACTCCTTTACCTCGCTAAGCCAGAACTTAAAGCTGGTGAAGAGGAAAGGTTGGGCATGAGACTAGCAAACCCATCCTATAAAATAAACACTGCTACAGAAACTCCAAGCCACTAGCTTGAAGCCCTATGTTCCACTGGGGAACGTGAAGGAAATTTTTAAAAAACTTAAGGAGAATTGAACTCTTTAAAGCATTTGTTCCCTTTAGACATAAGCTTTTTGGTACATGTTCAGAAAATCGTAGATATGCTCTTCTTTCTGTTCTTCCAATGTAACTGCTCCTGCAGATACATGTAAATTTGTAAATACAGTTGGAGTTAACATGAGAAGGATATCTATCGATTTTTGATTGCACCAGAGAGCAAGTTGTTCGAAAGACAGGAACGAGCTTAGCTGCAGGAGAGGCTATGGCTAGTGATGCATTGTCCAATAAATATGCCAAAGAAAGTGGAGGTGGGTAGGACATACACTGAGGAGACCGTCAAGTGACATCGAGCGCCAAGCATACCTTCGAGGGGAAACCGAATGGGAAATGGAGAGTTGGGCGTCCAAGGGTGGCAATGTAGCTAGGACACATTGTAAGAAGGAGCTGAAAGCCAGCTAAAGAGGAGCTGGTGAAGCTACTCGGAACCCAAGAGAATAGTAATAAATGAAAAAATAAAATGTCCACATTATGCAACTGAAAACCCTCAGAACGTGGATCTATTACAAGTAGAAATGGAAATATTGGTTGCTACTTGGTTGCTTTTTAACTATGAAAATTCGTACGAAAAGATTGGATAACAACGTCGATGCATTCAATACACCTCAGATTTTATCAGATGGTTAAGTTATATATACGTAATTTAGGCCAAAAAAGCCGTCACTTAGATAACGGCATTTGTGGGGATTTGGATTAATCTAATTTTAGCTGTTAAATTTCCTCGCGAACCAACAGACAGTTGTTTCTTCCTAGTTTGAAACTCTTCATCAGTGCATACCCGCAGCCTCCCCCCGGAAATCGAACGCAGGACTTTCAGATTACGAAACCAACCTCGTTGAACAGACAGCTGAGTCGAAATTCAATGTGACCTGTGAATTTTAACCTCTCTCAAATCATGATATGTGCGTCGGTGGCACAGCGGTTAGGACGCTCGCCGACCATGCACATGGTCCGGGGTTCGATCACCGGCCGACGCACTCCTTTACCTCGCTAAGCCAGAAATAAAGCTGGTAATGAGGAAAGGTTGGGCATGAGGCTAGCAACCTATCCTGTAAAAAATAAACACTGCTACCGAAACTTCAAGCAAGAGGCTTGAAGCCCTATGTTCCACTGGGAACGTGAAGGAATAAAAAAAATTCATGATATAGCGTTACACTCTACCGATGCCATCGATGAGCATGATAACCTCTCTCTAACTGACGTTGGTTCACGACGAAATCTAACAATTGAAAGATCGTTGCATTTTTCAAATATTAAGATTGGTTACTTGTTAATGGGACACGACGACACTTGGGAATATAGTATGTCAGAGATAGACCCATGAGGAGTGTATTAACCTCTTGAAAGTCCCTCATTAAGAAAGACATTTTATCTAAATTTAAAAAAAAACAATTATTTTCTCTCCTTTATCGTTTGAAATCAGCAGAAGTATATACGCTTCACTGACTTCAATTTTTCTCACCCTCATCGATCAAACTTTCGAAACTCGGACTTTCTCGTTGATTGATTGGACCGAAGGGGTTCAGTCTGTGCTGGTTGACATGTCGGTTCCATTGTGGACACATCAACGATGTCTAAGGATTAACTTGAATTAATTTACTGGATGGTGACTAGCAGTGGAATCCAGGATAACGCGCATTTCTTCCCATTTGGGACTCATCGGCTAATGGATGTACCTGCAACCCCCCCCCTAGTGAGTGATTATGGTGTTCTCAATGAGGCTCGAACCCAGTACCCATAGTTTCAAATGTCAAAGCGTTATCCACTAGCGCATCCTGGATTCCACTGCTAGTCACCATCAATCAATTTACTTCAAGTTAAATGATCAGACATCGTTGAAGCACCTGCATAAGGAGCCGATATGTGAACCTGAGGCCGAGCACTTCGGTCCAACCAGTCAACGGGAATGCCTAAACTGAATTAAATAATTACTAATACCCATTGCACAAGAGGCAATGGCTCTCGTGGCCCAAGTGGTCTAGTGGATAACGCTTTGACGTTTGAAACTATGGGTACTGCGTTTGAGCCTCAATGAGTAGGTATACCCAGATGACGAGTCTCAAACAGGACGAAATGCGCATCCTGGATTCTATCGCTAGTCACAATCCACTAAGTCATAAAACTTGTCTATCAAATATTCATTATAATGTATGTATTTGGGCATTATTGAGGTCGTTTTTGAAGAACAAGTCGCCGTAAACAATTAGCTTCATTGGCTTGAACATTTCCTACTTAGGACTTCAATACTATTTCCTGGATCTGACAGTGGTCCGAAGAGAGACAAGTAGTTTACGATAGGGCAGATATGGGCAAAAATGAATTTTTTTACATTGTTATATAGTGGTACACTATATAGATATACAAAGCACAATTTCAAATAATTAAAAACCGAGTCAAAACCAATACGGCTAGAAATCACACTACTACATTTATATTTTTCTTTAAGTTTTAACAGTGCTGTTGGTTCACTAAAAAATAAATTAGTTAAATTTGCTCAATACTAAATACTGTTGTAATATATTTCGTTTGGCTAGTGTCTTTTTCAGATTATGGAGAGGATTAAACTTTCAAAACATTCACACATAATGAACTTTGTTTTCCTTCCTTCCTTATCAATTGAGAAGAAATTTTAGATTGGCTAAGAAAAATTGTGATATTTACAGACAGAAATAAATCTATAATAGTTATCAGCTAGTTACATTTACATTTAGAAACTATTGGTTAAAAAAATGACAGTAAGAAGATGCTTCAGTATCAGGTAGAGAAGGGTAATCAATCGATGAAGTTGTGAATCTGCATTGATTGAGATGGCTAAGACACGTGTTGTTACGCATGCTAAACAGTCACTTTTTCGTCGAACAACGTTAGCTGACACAACTTTGGATTGAAAAAAAAGACTTAGTGGTGGTTAAATCAAAACACGATGTCAGCTCATGAAGTCTTTGATTATTGGTTTGATTGAGGTATAGGACTGCCTACCTCGGCTCCTCAAGATGCTAAGGACCAACGACTAGAGACGGTCGGCAAGGTGGTTCAAAATCTTTCTTAATGGTTTACATGCATTCACTCTTTACAAGTTACAGGATGAATTTAAACCTCATTATTCTTCAGAAAATTACAAATGTGGCAACGTGAAATGCTGCACTTATGCTGAAATTTGTAAGGTGAATAACTAGTTGAGTTGAGTTCACACAACACGAAATGCTGTTTATGATTTAGGTAAACAGAGACTGTGTAGATGCTCATTTGCCTGGCTGGCTGGATTCAACATAGAACTTGACACCGAAGTGCAGCAGTTCGAGTTGCCACCTTCCAAATAGCACACAAAGGTAGACAAGAAAATGAGTGAAGAGAATCAATAGAGTTTTGACAAGTATAAGAGTGAAACAGAATGAGTAATGGTAGAAAGGAATATGAAAGATTACAGAGACTGAATACATCTGCGTAAGCAATTGACAACGATTTTGAGCCATGTCACCTATTGTCTCCAGCCATTGATTCTTAGAGTCCCGAGGGCGGGCCCCAACCAGTCAGGAAGTCTGCATCTCCCTACCTGACTCAGTTTAACTGTCAAGGATTTCATGGATTGATGAGGCCATGTTTTTGTTTGGCCACCACTTACTCTTTTCCAACCTGCACCTATATCAGCTAGTAATGCCCGTCGGGGGAGTAAACATCAGGGCGAGGCGCATGCAAATAACACACAGCCTTCTTCAAACCTTGCACACAACCATTAGGTCGCGTACTATCCCATCGCCCTTTGGCAGATCTGGCAACAAAAGTCACGAGAACACCATCAGAGCATATGACAGGTTAGGTACCCCAATGCTCATTTGAATGAATACACACAAAACACCTAGTGTGTGTGGTGTGTGAAGTAATGCCGCCAGTACTTGTAGGACTAAAATTTGTGACGTCATCTAAAGACTGAACAAATGATACGATGTGGGAAAATGTTTTATTATTGGCCTTATCTGTTAACTTACTACGGAAGAAATTTATTTAAAAAGGTTACACAGTAAATAATAATAATGACTGATATAATTGGTTGAAAATCATTCACATTCAACAAAAGCACTTGCTAATCGCTTCACTAGTTTCGGGTCGAGCTCATCAGAGATGTGCCTAGGGATTTATATCACTGGTTAGCGAAGACTATTGGATTGGACTATTAAGGTGCCAAGAAAGTTAAGTATTATGATTTGATTAACATAGGTTATCAAAGTAATTCGTCAGGCATTTAGCTTCAGTTGTATTCTTTGGAAAACACTAGTTGCTTTCAGAAGAAAAGAACTACACAATGTACACAGAATACGTCAAGTAACGTAACAAGCTAAGACATGCTAAGTAAATGCTTACCTTTGGGAACTGGAGAGTTCTTGGTGTGTTGACCAAGGACATGACGATTAATGTTATGGCTTGGGAGAGGAACTTTAAATGTATCACCAGCAGGTGGACCCCATAAATTAATCAAGTGGTCCTGCGTTGCATGGGATGGCGGGTCAACAGATCGTAGAGTAGATCTTGCACTTGGAGTAGGAGGTTTGGATTTCGACTGAAGAGAAGGATGAGACGTCCTAATAATTAAAGACATTTAAAAAGTTACTGCAATTATGCCTTTAAATACTTACAACCCGAAAAAACCACCTACATAAATACAGTTAACTACTCTGTAACTATGATACAAAATTAGAATACTCAAAACAAACAGGTACGTAGACAGGTTGGAGAAATGAGCATATTCCGCAATTTGATCCACCGAAATTTAATCAATGACCTGTTCGTGGAAATCTGCGAGAAACAATACTCCATTGACATTTTTTAGAGCTGAGGTGAATAATCAATGGGTTGTTGAATAGGAGATCTGCTTAGATTGGAAAAATTATTTAGATCAACAAACAACGAGAAGTCAGTAAAATTCTGCAGTCATAAGTAGACGATCCTTATTAGAGTGATGGCGTTCAAACTGCAATTGACACTTAGTTGAGAGTGTAAACGTTTTAAAACACCGCTTGACATTTTTGGAGACTATTTGTTTCGCATAAAACCCCCTAGGTATCAAGAGAAATGCAGAAAACCATAGTCTGCAACAGCAATAAAAAAGTCAAATTTGTAAACATCATTCAGTCATAGCTTAATAATTTCACGACATAATGACATAGTTACTGACTTACTGAATAACAAGTGTCGAACCTAATTTATGGTGTATATTATGATGAATCCACAACTTTGAGACACTAAAGAACCAGAATACCGCTTAAAACAATAAAGACACTAATTGAATGTATATTTCGAAACAGATAGCAACCGTACAGTATATTTAACACTAAAAACTTGTTATCATGATGATGCCTATTTTACGCTGCTATTCAGATCAGTGTCAACACAATATTGCCCATAGTTTTAATTGTGTTCATGAGAAAAAGACCAATCGACGCTTAAAATAATTATGAACACGCTCCTAACCTTCAGTAAACAGTTCGCACATCAAAGCTATCAGCAATCTGATAGTTTCAAGTGCTATTTCTGCAAAGTCATTTCAAACAAATAACCAATTTACATACAATAAGTTAACCAGAATTGAAAAAAATTTGTGCACAATAAACTTACAAGTCCGAATAAAAACCACTGGAACCATTATTTCCTGAATTTTCACGAATATCAGTTTTGCGCTAAAAGAAAAGTGGGTGTAATGATCGAAGTAATATCTTACTCGATAATTGTAATTGGATAACAGGTACAAAAACTCCAAAATTTCAGCTTTTCGCCTAACTGAAGGCTGGGAAAATAAGCATATTAATGAATTACCAAGCTGTGCAAAATCTTCAGAAGGCGTTTAAGTATAACTGAATCAGTGTCTCGTCCATCTACTAGAACTAAATAGCAATAACTAAGCAAAATATTCATACGTTTCGAAAACAGCCTTTCTTCAACTTCTGACAACGACACTGGCTTTGAGTGACTGCCAATAAATATTTGTGTCAATAAAGACTTACCAAGTGAAAAGGTTTTCGCTGAAAGAATAGAACTGCTGTACAGCACCTATTTGACATTAAAAGTTTGGTAAAGTTTTTAAAAAAAGACGTACTACTTGAACATGATTCGCGTCTATCAGACGTGATTTTGTTAATAAGATCATGGACAACTGATTTCAAATTTTCAGGCACACCAGTGAGCATTTCATATAACTCGTGACCTTGTGAAATTCATTCCTCCCGGATTTTATTACAAGTTTCAATATCTTTGTGACCAACTTATAAAGAGCAGTCAATTTCTTTGACTTTTTTCACTTGTTTGATAAGACGGTGGATGCTGGTGCAGTGAATCTGTTTTTGGTTGCATTACCTATGCCAAACACACTAACAGAAGGAATAGAAGTATTTTTTTTATTGAGGATAATAGGCTTTAGGAATATATAAATCATCAATTTAACCTTTCAGCGAACTATGCTTCGAATTAATTTAAGGGTGCTGAAGAGAACTGTTTCAGTTAATATTTGGGCTTGAGAAATGAGTTTTCAGATGTTTAACTGCGCAACCATGAAGTCTGGACTTTAAGTTGACGTCCTTGTATATGAGCTAGATTATTGAGCAGAACTTAATAGAGTAGTCTAGCACTAAAATCATTACAGAAGACTCTGTGCGCTTGTTCACCTCAGACGCCAGGATAATGGTGAAAATGAATATGATCTATACATTCACATCATCTTGGTTCCCACTACTTGAACTCTTGCTAATATGTCTTCGCAATTCAGACATATTCCCAACTATCAGACCTCGCGTTTCAAGTAAATCATAACCTACGGAATATGTCAACATCAGCTGTCAAAAACAAAATGGGTAGCAAGATGTTCCGAATTGTTTCACAGCTTATCTAAAGCCTACTCCAGTCTTTGGCTAGCCCTAATTGATTAAAGACGACCATTAAAATTTACCAGAGAATGGTTACTGAACAAAGAATACTCTTCCCGATAACTTCATCATCAGGCTCTACAGTCATATATGAATAATGTTGAATGAATGAATAAATTAGTGTTATGAACAACATTAATGCTGTTTAAATAACGTCGAATCAATAATAATATCAATAGATTACAGTTCAATAGCATCAACATAGCAATAAACTGAAAGTCAAAAAAATAGGAGAGATAATAATACAAATTTATGAATTTGTAGTCTCTGCTGAAGTCTGGCCAGTGCAGTGGTAGTAGCCGAACTTCCTTCTTTCGCACACAAAGCACTGGTTGTTTCACGCGAATTGCAGTAGCATCTATTGTTTCCAGCATGCTGTACATCGATATTTTTGACAATTTATTTGGTACCCAGTTGATGATAGAGAAGGATTCTACAATGCTGGCTTTGTGTCCGGTTTGAACCAGATGATCCAATATCGAACTGCTGATGGTTTTTACTGCACGTTTACTTAGCCATACCGGGAGATGTTCTCGAGCAGGACAAATTAAGTTCCTACAGCAATGGCCGATATGACTCGCTTCACCACAAGCGCAGTTGAATTGGTAGATACAATTAGAAGTTGTTAGGTAGTCTAGGTACTTCATCTTTCATTCGAGGAATCCCCATCGGTCATATTGAGAATAATACGTGTAGTTCTTTTGAACTGGAGAGGAACGAAGCTGTGAAAATGTGTATGTTGTCCAGTTCATGCACTCTTATAATGCAAATTTCTTTATATGCTGCCATCAGGTTTTCTTGTAGGAAGGATATCCAGGAAGGCAATTCGGTTTTGGGATTCCGCTTCGCACGTGAATTTCATAGCAGAATTTACTTCACTGAATTCCGCAATTATTGTACTCCTATAAAAATGTCATCCGTATACCGGCAATCAAATGACAATTTTCTGATAAGGTTGTTCGAAGGTCCAATTTTTAGTTTACTTAGAATGAAATCTGCCAAAATGGGACCTGATGGAGAGCCCATTGGCTCCCGATCCATTTGTCTTTAAACTGTGCCACCAAATTTGAAATTTTCATATTGGAGCGCCCTAATAATAATTCTTTTAGGATTTCCGTTGGAATGCCAATGTTTATCGACTGGTTATACACATGTTCACATATGTAGTACATTCGGATTTGGTGACACTTTCGCAGGTGTTTTCGCTGATATTCATTTTTCGGGTTTCACCGTATTATCACCAATAATAATGGGCGAAAACTCTAAAAAGCGTGTTCTTAGGAACCCCAATAATTTAGAAAATAGCTTAATCTTATCTAGTAATGCATTATCACCCCTTAAATCAGCTGTAATTAGTAGTTCACCCAATACAAATGATTCCAACATAATGCTGACCCCTGTAATACAGGTGTAAGCCATCCTGTCAGAAAATGGCAGAGATTACTAACTTATTCTACATCATAAACGACATGCAGCTATAAATAAATGAACTCAGGACGAAACTAAATCAACTTGACCTGGTACCAGAAACAATCTTACATCTTATGAAGGAACTGGGGGATCTCACTTTCCTAAAACTTTTTAATTTGAGGACTGAACCAACCACCTTATAACAAACACGATTATACCATAAATCATGAATAAGGTCACTGCCGGAGTATCGAAGGTCAATGAAGCACAAAGTGACACTCACAAAGTACTAGGTGAACAAACGACACGTGAAGGAGAAGGGAAAGCCAAAAGGAGCCGTGACACTGGAATCGGTCTCGAAGTTCATGAGAACACTCCCAGGAAACCTACCGATCACACACATGAAGTAGACATAGATGCTCCCACTACCGATAACCTGCAAATATCGGCAGATCACACTGCACCCAGGGCCAAGCAAGATAATCTCACTGCAAAAGACTGTCGAAAAAACGCAAGGTTATTGTTCTCTTAAACAAAATGTGTCAGATAAACTTGGTACAAATCTTCGAACATGAGGTTATCCGGCATACAAACACCAAGAATACAATGGCCGAACAAAACATGACTCACTGTTAACAGCATTGTGAATCCAAGCAGAAAGTTTGCAACAGTCCTGTGAACTACAAGCAGTCTAACTAACGCACAATGGTTAATCGCATATGAGGTTCAACCTTAGTGTTTTAATTTGAAGTGTTAGACAAAATGCTTCTATTTCCAGTTACTTTATTCATTCATAGTTCGGTATCATCCGGTGATGATTAGCTGAGGATTTGAAAAGCTCTTGATGAAAGTGCAGGTGTCATTTTCGTATATCATATGTAAACTGGCTCCTGCGGTACACAAATAAGCGTAGAATAATGCCAGTAAATAAACAGAGCAGAAACAAATTTTATTATTGCTGCGAAAGTCTCCTGAATTCGGCCAGATCCAAAAGGTTTAGTGTGGGGGAATAGTAAGTGCATGAACGGCAGTCTGAGGAAAATGTCATTTTTAACAGAGGTAAAAAAAGCAACTTCATTAACTTTATGGTGCAGTGTGAGGTAACTGTGAATATGTATTAGTAGCATCTTCATAAAAGTCTCCACAATTTGTGTCAGTAGTGGTAAATTCACTGAACAAGAAACGCGGCAAGTAGGTGACAAACCTGGGTAGAAGATTAAATATTGCACTCTTTGGAACCAAATACCATCTGAAATTAGATCCTGTGAAAACCCCGACTGGTACAAACGGAGCCTAGAAATACACATTAACATGTCCACCATAGCTCGTCTAAAAGACTAAAACCGTTGGTATAGTGTAAGTGAAAGCCAACCCAGTCTTCAGTGTAGTCACTGATGTATAACTCGACTCCACTACTTACGCAGCGAACGTTTAACTAATTTACTGATTTTCTATTCTCTATAATCTTCAATAAGTTGTGTTGGTATAAGAAACTCTAGATACAATTATATTAGCAAACACACCTTTTAATATTGACATATATGTACAGTTAATAATGCAATGCTATTTTCTTGCCGAAATGAATATACCCAGTCAATAACTACCTTTTCCCATATACGTTTTTAAAATGTATTATTTTATAACATTTCGTAGTATTCATTAACACTATCTAAGTTGAAGGGTTACTTTGCAATGTCTGATGCGTACCATATGAAAATCGGTTATGAAAATTTAGCTTAAGTAGCTCTGTTAACCAGCCGTTTCCTTCAGGATCATTCTACATAATTTTATCACTAATTTTCCACTATACATTTTACTCTGCTAAATAGACTATAACTTAGTTGTTGTATTACTAGCTACTTCTACACTTTAAACTTCTTAAAGTAAACTCAATTTCCTAGCCGTTTGTAACAAATACTTATATACATGTATGCATGTATAAAAGTGATACAGCTAATAATGTCTTCAGGTATCGATGTATCCGGTGACCTAATGGGAAGCACTTGACACGAAACCTATTAATGTACAGCATACCGTGTGACTGGGACAGGCTCAAAGTAATGCAATACTGCAGGTAGAGTTTGCAAAAAATCGCAGAGCTTGAAACAAAAAAGGAGGGAGGGCGGGGCATGCTGATCAGCAGAAATGTTAGTGGTCAGAATTGTGAATCGCTGCGATCTGTGGTACATGCCTTTTCTGACAGTTCGAGAATTAAACACCAGACTTGATCCCAAACAGACAATAAAAAATGAGGGCTGCACTGATCTAAATTATAAATTTAAAAAATGCATTTGCTCCCACCATCTACAAGCCTGTTCAGCTTCTTGTCAGGATGCTACCCTATGGGCCCCACAGAAGTTTGTGAAACATCTTACAGGTCAGCTTGTCCTACTAATTGTAATCTTCCAGATCTTTAAATTCGCTTCTCACTGAAATGTCACTTATCCACCTCGCGATCATCTTTTTATTTACGCACTGTTATACTCTATTAACTACCTATGCCTTTTTTCCGTTATGGGTAAATTTTGTTTTGACAAAGTCTCACAGTGATATACAGTAATGTTTACTGATGACGTTTCGAGCACAATTTATTGCTCGTAATCATATCAGGGTAATCATACGACTTTCTAAATTCATTTATATAGTTCCATTGTTTTTCACTTGATTTGATTGGTAGTAATATTTTCCATATTTCGGCTATGAGTGATGAATCATTCCTATTGTATTTGTTGGGTGTAGATTCGATGAACAAGGATTCAGTAATCAACCTCCCTCTCCACCTACCCAGATTACTTTTTAGAATTTTAACCCCCTCCCACCCTATTGTGTGATTGTGTGCTAATGTATCACACCTACATAAAAGATAACACAGGTTGGCAATTGTCAAAATAACCTTGTGTATCTGTGCTGGAGTT